TCTATCCCTCTGTGGTCTATCCCTCTGTGGTCTCTCCCTCTCTGGTCTCTCCCTCTGTGGTCGGTCTCTATGTGGTCTCTCTTTATGTGGTCTCTCCCTCTGTGGTCTCTCCCTCTGTGGTCGGTCTCTCTGTGGTCTCTCTTTATGTGGTCTCTCCCTCTGTGGTCTCTCCCTCTGTGGTCGGTCTCTCTGTGGTCTCTCTTTATGTGGTCTCTCCCTCTGTGGTCTATCCCTCTGTGGTCTATCCCTCTGTGGTCTCTCCCTCTGTGGTCTCTCCCTCTGTGGTCTCTCCCTCTGTGGTCTCTCCCTCTGTGGTCTATCCCTCTGTGGTCTATCCCTCTCTGGTCTCTCCCTCTCTGGTCTCTCCCTCTCTGGTCTCTCACTCTCTGGTCTCTCACTCTCTGGTCTCTCACTCTCTGGTCTCTCACTCTCTGGTCTCTCACTCTCTGGTCTCTCACTCTCTGGTCTCTCACTCTCTGGTCTCTCACTCTCTGGTCTCTCACTCTCTGGTCTCTCACTCTCTGGTCTCTCACTCTCTGGTCTCTCCCTCTCTGGTATCTCCCTCTCTGGTCTCCCTCCTCTCTGGTCTCTCCCTCTCTGGTCTCTCCCTCTCTGGTCTCTCCCTCTGTGGTCTCTCTCTCTGTGGTCTCTCCCTCTGTGGTCTCTCCCTCTGTGGTCTCTCCCTCTGTGGTCTCTCTCTCTGCTGTCTCTCCATCTGTGGTCTCTCCCTCTGTGGTCTCTCCCTCTGTGGTCGGTCTCTATGTGGTCTATCCCTCTGTGGTCTATCCCTCTGTGGTCTCTCCCTCTCTGGTCTCTCCCTCTGTGGTCGGTCTCTATGTGGTCTCTCTTTATGTGGTCTCTCCCTCTGTGGTCTCTCCCTCTGTGGTCGGTCTCTCTGTGGTCTCTCTTTATGTGGTCTCTCCCTCTGTGGTCTCTCCCTCTGTGGTCTCTCTCTCTGCTGTCTCTCCATCTGTGGTCTCTCCCTCTGTGGTCTCTCCCTCTGTGGTCGGTCTCTATGTGGTCTATCCCTCTGTGGTCTATCCCTCTGTGGTCTCTCCCTCTCTGGTCTCTCCCTCTGTGGTCGGTCTCTATGTGGTCTCTCTTTATGTGGTCTCTCCCTCTGTGGTCTCTCCCTCTGTGGTCGGTCTCTCTGTGGTCTCTCTTTATGTGGTCTCTCCCTCTGTGGTCTCTCCCTCTGTGGTCGGTCTCTCTGTGGTCTCTCTTTATGTGGTCTCTCCCTCTGTGGTCTATCCCTCTGTGGTCTATCCCTCTGTGGTCTCTCCCTCTGTGGTCTCTCCCTCTGTGGTCTATCCCTCTGTGGTCTATCCCTCTCTGGTCTCTCCCTCTCTGGTCTCTCCCTCTCTGGTCTCTCCCTCTCTGGTCTCTCCCTCTCTGGTCTCTCCCTCTCTGGTCTCTCCCTCTCTGGTCTCTCACTCTCTGGTCTCTCACTCTCTGGTCTCTCACTCTCTGGCCTCTCACTCTCTGGTCTCTCACTCTCTGGTCTCTCACTCTCTGGTCTCTCACTCTCTGGTCTCTCACTCTCTGGTCTCTCACTCTCTGGTCTCTCACTCTCTGGTATCTCCCTCTCTGGTCTCCCTCCTCTCTGGTCTCTCCCTCTCTGGTCTCTCCCTCTCTGGTCTCTCCCTCTGTGGTCTCTCTCTCTGTGGTCTCTCCCTCTGTGGTCTCTCCCTCTGTGGTCTCTCCCTCTGTGGTCTCTCTCTCTGCTGTCTCTCCCTCTGTGGTCTCTCCCTCTGTGGTCTCTCCCTCTGTGGTCGGTCTCTATGTGGTCTATCCCTCTGTGGTCTATCCCTCTGTGGTCTCTCCCTCTCTGGTCTCTCCCTCTGTGGTCGGTCTCTATGTGGTCTCTCTTTATGTGGTCTCTCCCTCTGTGGTCGGTCTCTCTGTGGTCTCTCTTTATGTGGTCTCTCCCTCTGTGGTCTCTCCCTCTGTGGTCGGTCTCTCTGTGGTCTCTCTTTATGTGGTCTCTCCCTCTGTGGTCTCTCCCTCTGTGGTCTCTCTCTCTGCTGTCTCTCCATCTGTGGTCTCTCCCTCTGTGGTCTCTCCCTCTGTGGTCGGTCTCTATGTGGTCTATCCCTCTGTGGTCTATCCCTCTGTGGTCTCTCCCTCTCTGGTCTCTCCCTCTGTGGTCGGTCTCTATGTGGTCTCTCTTTATGTGGTCTCTCCCTCTGTGGTCTCTCCCTCTGTGGTCGGTCTCTCTGTGGTCTCTCTTTATGTGGTCTCTCCCTCTGTGGTCTCTCCCTCTGTGGTCGGTCTCTCTGTGGTCTCTCTTTATGTGGTCTCTCCCTCTGTGGTCTATCCCTCTGTGGTCTATCCCTCTGTGGTCTCTCCCTCTGTGGTCTCTCCCTCTGTGGTCTCTCCCTCTGTGGTCTATCCCTCTGTGGTCTATCCCTCTCTGGTCTCTCCCTCTCTGGTCTCTCCCTCTCTGGTCTCTCCCTCTCTGGTCTCTCCCTCTCTGGTCTCTCCCTCTCTGGTCTCTCCCTCTCTGGTCTCTCCCTCTCTGGTCTCTCACTCTCTGGTCTCTCACTCTCTGGTCTCTCACTCTCTGGTCTCTCACTCTCTGGTCTCTCACTCTCTGGTCTCTCACTCTCTGGTCTCTCACTCTCTGGTCTCTCACTCTCTGGTCTCTCACTCTCTGGTCTCTCACTCTCTGGTCTCTCACTCTCTGGTATCTCCCTCTCTGGTCTCCCTCCTCTCTGGTCTCTCCCTCTCTGGTCTCTCCCTCTCTGGTCTCTCCCTCTGTGGTCTCTCTCTCTGTGGTCTCTCCCTCTGTGGTCTCTCCCTCTGTGGTCTCTCCCTCTGTGGTCTCTCTCTCTGCTGTCTCTCCATCTGTGGTCTCTCCCTCTGTGGTCTCTCCCTCTGTGGTCGGTCTCTATGTGGTCTATCCCTCTGTGGTCTATCCCTCTGTGGTCTCTCCCTCTCTGGTCTCTCCCTCTGTGGTCGGTCTCTATGTGGTCTCTCTTTATGTGGTCTCTCCCTCTGTGGTCTCTCCCTCTGTGGTCGGTCTCTCTGTGGTCTCTCTTTATGTGGTCTCTCCCTCTGTGGTCTCTCCCTCTGTGGTCGGTCTCTCTGTGGTCTCTCTTTATGTGGTCTATCCCTCTGTGGTCTATCCCTCTGTGGTCTATCCCTCTGTGGTCTCTCCCTCTGTGGTCTCTCCCTCTGTGGTCTATCCCTCTGTGGTCTATCCCTCTCTGGTCTCTCCCTCTCTGGTCTCTCCCTCTCTGGTCTCTCCCTCTCTGGTCTCTCCCTCTCTGGTCTCTCCCTCTCTGGTCTCTCACTCTCTGGTCTCTCACTCTCTGGTCTCTCACTCTCTGGTCTCTCACTCTCTGGTCTCTCACTCTCTGGTCTCTCACTCTCTCTGGTCTCTCACTCTCTGGTCTCTCACTCTCTGGTCTCTCACTCTCTGGTATCTCCCTCTCTGGTCTCCCTCCTCTCTGGTCTCTCCCTCTCTGGTCTCTCCCTCTCTGGTCTCTCCCTCTGTGGTCTCTCTCTCTGTGGTCTCTCCCTCTGTGGTCTCTCCCTCTGTGGTCTCTCCCTCTGTGGTCTCTCTCTCTGCTGTCTCTCCATCTGTGGTCTCTCCCTCTGTGGTCTCTCCCTCTGTGGTCGGTCTCTATGTGGTCTATCCCTCTGTGGTCTATCCCTCTGTGGTCTCTCCCTCTCTGGTCTCTCCCTCTGTGGTCGGTCTCTATGTGGTCTCTCTTTATGTGGTCTCTCCCTCTGTGGTCTCTCCCTCTGTGGTCGGTCTCTCTGTGGTCTCTCTTTATGTGGTCTCTCCCTCTGTGGTCTCTCCCTCTGTGGTCGGTCTCTCTGTGGTCTCTCTTTATGTGGTCTCTCCCTCTGTGGTCTATCCCTCTGTGGTCTATCCCTCTGTGGTCTCTCCCTCTGTGGTCTCTCCCTCTGTGGTCTCTCTCTCTCTGTGGTCTCTCCCTCTGTGGTCTCTCCCTCTGTGGTCTCTCTCTCTCTGTGGTCTCTCCCTCTGTGGTCTCTCTCTCTGTGGTCTCTCTCTCTGTGGTCTCTCCCTCTCTTTTCGAAACGCAACCCAGTAGGGTAGGGCCAAGCAGGGCTGGTGGGAACAGGGCTTAAAAAGGTGTTGAATTGCACTTGACCAAACCTGGAGCTGTTCCGTTTCATAAAGGGTCTATTGTAAAGCACACACAGGAATGAGGACGGAGAAGAAACAAGAGCCTATACTGTAACATTGTGATGGAAGTCTAAGCTAAGAACTAATATTTATGAACAGGGGTCATTCGAACTGTTTGATTCTCTGATCTCTTGTTGCCAAATTGAAAATTTAGCAAAGAGCTCAGAGACTTACCACAAAGTTGTGGTAGATACAACATACATAGAAAGGAAAGATGTGGGACTTTGTGAGCGTAGTGTAGAGCGATTGGCCTTTCACAAAGACCTCCTCAACAATGTTACACTCTACACTTCCTCCTTATTATTGTGTGTGCTTTAAATTTAGCTTTTATGACATGGGGCTGCTCCAGATTTGGTAAAGTTGGTGCAAATTCACACCTCTGTTTTTTGATGCCACATAAGCCTTGTTTCCACCAGCCCTACTCTCAGTTACTAATGTGCGCAGATGTTAAACCTGTTGGTTGTAGGTCTGAGCGCTGCTGTAGCTGTCAAAAGCCGTGCATACACTGTAAAATTTAGTAGAAGAGGACAGAGAGAGAGACAAGAGAGAGGGAAATTCCAGAGGGGGAGAGACCATAGAGAGAGAGACCAGAGAGAGAAGAGAACCAGGACAAAACAGATAGAGACGACCCAGGGGTAGAGCAGAATAGAGTGGGGCTGGTGGAAACGGGGCTTCAAATAACAAATTATACCAAACAGGTCAGTAAATAATGATAAGGAAAGGCTTGGAATGATAGGGAAGTGGGTATATTTTAACAATTCGGATGCAACCAAAGAGTATGAATGAACAACATGATGACGTCTCCTTGCCCGTACTCTCTCCACTTGTTGTTGTCGCTCACCTTCTGCTCTGTGCACCAGGACTTCAGGACTGAGCAGAGACGCCAGCAGCTCCTGTTTCCTCTGGTTCTCCTGCCTGAACACACACACCTCCTCCTCGTACTCCGCAATGGTCCTCTCCACCAGCGCAAAGATCTCCTCCGCAGCCGCCGCCAGACGCTGATTGACCGCAGCTCTCAGCAGACTGCGCCTCCTCTCCAACATGTTTTCTCCTTTTCCACAAAATAAACTTCTAAATGAACTATTAGCTTAGCCACCTAGCACTGTTAGCTAGTTCGCGACAGATAACAACCTTTTTAACAGCACTTATCGTATCTATAAAGAAATTACAATGTTATAGACTTCTTTCATCCACTTATTATGGTGTTAGCACGCAGTTAAACAACTTAGTGCCCAAACTATAAACAGAACAAAAACAAACGCTTGAAGTGGTAGTTCCGGCGCGTAGTGTTACGTCACACGCGCGCGACTACATCTCCAAAAGTAGCTAGAAGATTCGGAGAGCTGAGCCGTTCCCAGGTGTCTCTTTTTTCCTGTTTCTGTGGGTTTTTGTGGAGAACAGCCGAAGACAGCGGGTAAGGCGAGCTGTTTACCCACCCACAGGCCCTCGCCCTGGGGTTGTGAGGCCGAATGTGGCGCGGATCAAAGTGTAAAGCCATAGTTAGCGCGTTAGCATGTAGCTAACACGTCATGCATGCCAGGCTCATGCCCAAAACGAAACTATCATGGATTGAGGCTCTGAAACAAACACGAAACGCTCTGTAAAAAGTCTGTATTCATCATAATATGAGGAACTAAAGTGTGATCAGCGCGTTACTACTTTTCACCAATAAATAAATAGTAACGAGGCGTGTGCTGTTCTCAGGGTTTTGTGTCGTTTCAATCAAAGTTGGTTTTAGTTGTTGAAAAGAAAGTTGCGTTCATGTTGTAGAATTGTAATCCAGCTGGTGCCAATACAACTAAGGTTAAGAAGCATTCTCTGAGACACATTTTAAACAGTCATTATTTGATAAAGTCAGATTAACCAGTGTGAAAGTCCTTTCTACTGGTCAACAACATGTTTTTGAATATTGCCACGACTTCTAGACACCTTTTTATAAATGAGGAGACCAGTAGAGAGAGACTATAGTAAATATGTGCTGACAAAGATGTAGAACTACTTTCCATTTTCATGTTTATTGTTTCAGGGATTATCTCGTCTTATTATTAGAAATACATTTATTTGGTAAAAGGTGACATCAAGGTGCAGAAGAGCCAAATATAATGTTTTATTAGAATCTAGTCTTTGTTAATTATTCTAACTCTTGACACTCACCATAGTTTTCAGGAGAGATGTTTGGAAGACACTTGGATTAAGTTCTGTTCATGAGCGAGGGAGCAGCGTCTACAGCCAGAGCTCTCAATTTACTGCTTTGTCTATATCTCCACCCTCACCTGTGGTCATGGGCGGGGTTCAGTAACTGCTCTTCAGAGTCTGATTTGTTTCATATGGCACTAACACAGATGCACTTTAGTTTGAGGCCATGGAAAGACACAAGCACAGACCTGAGACCAAGACTAAAGTGATGGTACTTCCTGGTTCTAATCCGCACAAACGCTTCTGCCGTCGTTGCAATCATTCAATCAATCATATTCACGTTTTCCTTGGACTTCCTTATGTAGATTTTTTATTTATTCATACCTATTTTTACCTCCTAACTTATTTGCACCAAGAACCAAAACAATTTCCTAATTTGTGACTTACTTTTTACTCCCAATGTATAATTCTGATTCTTGTTTCTCACAATGACAATATGAATAATTCTGATTCTGTTATTGACCTCCGTGTGTCCCGTGCTGTCTCCCAGGTCTCCTCGTCCCCTCTGCCCCCACACAGAGCCCTTCATCCTGGGATCATGTCGGACACGAAGCGCCTGGCCTTCTCCATCCTCCGCTTCCTCCACGACCAGCTGAACTCGGGCACGCTGACGTCGGACGCCAAGGAGAGCCTGGAGGGTGAGGACGACAACATTAGACCCTTTTCCACTGCACGTCTTTGTCTCTAAGCCAAACCTAGACCCTGCTCAGAGCTTTTCAAATTTCAAGTTTGATTTATTAAGAAGATGCGCTAGATTTAGCACCAGCTACTTTCTACCTGTAGTCCTTGACGATACAATCATATAACTTCCATAATGATATACAGTTCAAATTAAAAGTGCAGGTCACTAAAACAAACATTAAAATAAAAGTGCAAGTTACTAAAATACATATTAACATACAGTTCAATTAAAGTGCTAAGTACTTCTGCTAAATTGTTACAAAAATTGTAATTTAACTGTAAAATAAATCAATAAATTATACATATTGCCTTCTTTTCATTCAACAATGAAATCAATAATAAAGTGCTTTTAGGAATTGCTGTAGAAATTCTGCACATAACAAGAGTAAAATAACATAAACAACCCAGAGCTGTGATTCCAAACAAAGTGTGAGTTTATTCATTAGTAAATGTGCACAATTACAATGAATAACAGAACCGATACCAATACCACCGGGCAGCCATCCGAAATCGACTGCCCCGATTGAGGAAATGACTGTACATTAAATAGACCAGAGTAAACAAACACATATCTACTCTAGATATTACAGAGATGAAGTCAACATTGATATGTGTCGCTCAAGGCTTCTCTTTACGCCTCCAAACGCTGATACAACTCTGATATATGTAACAATCTGCTTTTGAACTGAACATATTGTTCTATGACCCAGGTCAAAGACATGATGCAGCACGTCTCCATCTATCACTGACCCGCTGCCAACAGAGCATTATGGCCTGTATCTGAATCCAGAGTTGACTATTAGTTAATAACTTACACTCATAACTATTTGGTGTTAATTCAGATTGCTTTACTAAAATATTTCTATAACAGAACAAAATGCTTCTGTTACTTTTATATAACAATAGAAAATCCCTGTTCACATAAATAGCACAAGTTGACAGCCAAAAAATGGTCAGGGGTTTCTCAGCTGATTCAGACTAATGTTGGTGTTCTGAGTCTGAATATCACATGCATTTGTCTCTATCAGGTCAACTGTGTGAGATGCAGCCACAGTGTTACAGATGTACGTCTACGTTATTATGAACTCTGCTTATCAAATTTGATGGAGTAAATAAAAACTGAATGACTTTGGATACGTTGACTTTTATTTCTTGAGAAAAACGGAAAAAACGTCAAGGGTTTCTCAGCTGATGATCCGCAGAAATTGGTTTTTTACGCAAAATCGTTTAAAAAAAATATTTCTGTAGCAAAAAATTCTGACTTGATTGAGCAAAACCAAGGTCATTTTCGGACTCAGAGCATCAAAATGAGTCTAATTCAGCTGCAAAACCCTGGACTATTTTCAAACAATATTTTTTTGTTACCCAGTGAATTCAGCAGCAGCCGCTCTCTCTTCGCAGCCGTTCAGTAACTTTAAAGACCTTATGACGGGTTTGATTTATTTAGAAATACAGTTTTAATACCATTTTATATTAGAAGAGAACTACTAAAGGTTTCAAAATCAGTTGTTGTTTTTTTTGTCTGATCCCCCCCAAATCGAAATAACCCCATAGCAACGCCCTTAGAAACGAAAAAACTTCACAGCCCTTGGTGACGTCAGAATGGGTACGTTTCAACGCTGTAAGTTGTTTACAATTTGGTATTCGTTCTTTTTTCGCGGATATTCAAGATGACAAGGCCGTGTACAGCGAGTATGAGATAAATACTAGATTGTAACATTTTGTTGTCACTGAGATAGTCCAGTGGTTGTGTCGATGGACTGCCAATCCAGATACTGGGGTTCAAATCCCACCTCGGACACTTTTTCACTCTCAAAACGGCAATTTATGTGTAATGAGCAATTGTCACCTGTAGAGGGCAGTATTGTGTTGGGCATCAGTGGAGAGAAGAGAGAAAAGGCAGTCCCTGTGGCATAGATCCATGGTTTTCAATGCATGGGCGTTACCCGCTATGACGTCACACACAGGTTAGAGCATAGACAACTTAAATTCATGAAAAACACGTTCTTTTTATAAAATATAGGATTTTTTTTGCCGGAATCTCTTTCAAATTGACATTGTCATGCCATTTTGATATCCACTACTCCCATATTGCCAGCCGTTTCTGGTGGTTTTTACTGATTTTTCAAGACCCACAGAATATTGTGTACTTTGACTATCTGAAATCTAAAACTAGATTCTGAAAGAATGGGCTGTCTACTCTCAACAGCAAAAAGAATTTTGTTTCTATCTTGTTTAGTTCTTCTGTAATCCCCAGTTGAGTAGAGGGAAGTTTTATTGAAATCACCAGAAAGCTGAGAAAAAAGGGCCACAAACAGTGCATCTAGCTGTGTTCAAACCATTCATAGCGCAATGCTGCCATCTGCTGGCTCCATAAAGTATTGCCTCAAGCCAATCTCCACATATTAGATTCAATGGACAGCTGGGAACGTAAAAATAGCGGGAAACGCAATTGACGTGTTAACACGTCATTGGCAGACAACGTTACTATTTAGTTTGACGTGTTAACACGTCAATGGCAGTCAATGAGTTAATATCGGCTCGGTAAACTGTGTATGAGGTCAAGTGTTTTTAGTTTCGTCTAAAGTTTAGTCTATGGTATAAATCCACATGGTTCAATGCTGACGATAAGTGCCATGTTCACCGCTGTTTGAAACGCCACAGACTGTGAGTGATGTGATAATGAGCTGCCACTCGAGGAGGGGAGGAGCACAGAGCGAGCCAAGAAGGAAAGCGGCAAAAGTGAAATATTGATATATATGTACACTGTCAAAATTCATATCTAGCTCAAAGAACATCTCTGTATAACACCGCTGCTGTAAACAGATGGACAATGTTAACTCTTAGCTCAAGGAAGGCCAATAGGGAAGTGCTCATGGCCGAGGTTTAGCCCCAACTCTGGCTCCTATCGACTCGCATTGAAAAGTAAACTCTAGCTTAGTAACTGTTTGTGTCACTCAAGATTTTGGGCTTAAAAAGATCTGTGGTTTAGTGCTCTCTCTGATTGATGTCTCTGTAAATTCAGTCTTATAAAAATGTATCAATCAGATGCCTTCATTTACGGGGAAAGTCCAGCCTGCCTCCGTTTGGCTCCTACTGTAAAGAAATTGGCTCCAGCTAACGGGCGGCACGGTGGCTGAGTGGATAGCACTCTCAGCGAGAAGGTCCTGGGTTCGAATCCCGGTCGGACCAGGGCCTTTCTGAGTGGAGTTTGCATGTTCTCCCCGTGTCTGCGTAGGTTTCCTCCGGGTACTCCGGTTTCCCCTACCACTAAAAATATGTACAATAGGTCTTGCATGCGCCTCCTGTTCGGCGACCCTGCTCCCATCTCTGTGTGGAGTGAGAGACAAGTGCCCAAAAAAAATAATAACAATTGTAAACCGCTTTGTGACCCTTGTCTGTGAAAGGCGGTATATAAATAAACATTACTTACTTACTTGCTTATGTTCAAATAGCCTTCTCTCCGCATTAAGCTAACACTATGGCAGGTGTCTCCAACATTTTTCACCCAGAGAGCTACTTTCCCGGGACGATGAAGGCAGAGAGCTACTCCTTCAAGCCGCCCTGGGAATATTTTGGTGATATATTGTTGTGAGCAAGCCTGGTATTATACAATCTGAAATATTAAGTATATTATTTGTTCATTTCTCAATCCTTCGAGGAGCTACACATGATCAGTCCTCTCCTACGCTCTCGTGATGTTGGTTTGTTTATGGTGAGACTGTCGAGACGATGATAACGTGTTTATCTTTGGGACGTTGTGGGAGTGTCCGTCGACGCCCCGTCTCTGAACGCTAACGCTAACTGTTGGTGCTGTCTGTGCTGTGCTCAGTCGCGGTGCAGTGCATGGAGACCGCGTACGAGATTTCCACCGACGACCAGAGTCTCGCCGTGCCCATGTCGCTACCGGAGATCTTCAACGCCGCCACAGCCAAGGTGAGAGAGGGGGCGGGGCTAAAGCTCGGTGACCTTATTTTAGTCCAGTCCAGTTTATTTATAAAGCGCTAATAAAAACGACAAGATTCACCAAAGTGCTGTACATTAAAAGACATACAAAAAAAATGACAATTAGAGAATACAAAGTAGTGGCAAAAACTCACTATTTACAGCAAAAGAATCACAATATAAAATCAATTAAAAGCCAACGAGAACAAGTGACTCATACTAGACTTATTTTAGAGACCGTACATCTCTGGTGTTTGAGCGCTCCGGATTCTTTGCCGCAGCAGCTGGATTTGTAAAGTAAACAAACGTTGTGCGTACAGAACCAGGGTCGCAAACGCCCGGTACGTTTCCATGAGAGGTTAAACTGGGGAACGAGCAATAACTTTAATGTGGTCAAATTGAATGATAGCCAAGCATACATATAAACGAAGTCATGCAAAATGTTTTCAAGTGATATTTCTTCAGATTTATTCAAGTAAAACAAGTTTGAATTATTTTATTGACTAATAATTTGTTTTATAGAGGAACAAAACATACTGCAGGAGACTGAGAAAAACAGCGGCTTGAGGTAGCTAGCATCTGTCTCATGTGGTAAATTAGTTATGCTAGCTTTCTTTGTTTCGCTGTTTTGCTAAAAAAGGTTCCCATGTATTTCTGTGGGAGCCATACTTTTTTCTAAACAGTGAATATGTGTGATGTCCATAACTCCACAAACGCATTCAGAGGGTAGCATTGTCTCAGACTGTATGTTTTGGTTTAATTACATGTTTATACTGAAACAAACTAACGCATAAAACATTCGGAGAGCCGGACACAATCATCAGAAGAGACACATCTTGCTCTCGAGGTTCCTTACTCCTGATCAAACTTATCGGCGTGTTTTTTCCTCGATGGATATGTTTGAATACATTTAATAAAAAGTGTGGCTCAGTCGTCTCTAAACCTCCTGTGCATGTGATGGAGGCTCCGGGCCAGTAGGGGGCGTGGTGTCACTGTGAGGAGAGGATTTGAAATGGCATCAGTTTGTTTTAGCCAAGATTATGCTCAAATATACTTTCCTCAACTGTTATTAAATTCCCTACAAATAGACAACCTTCACCTTTGTTTATTCCCAGAAATTCCTGTTGATTCCCACAGAAAGTTTCTGCATTTGAAAAGTCCTGGAATTTTTCAACCCGACATAGAACGCAGATGAGTCCAAGCTGCAGGTTTTCATGTCGAGTCAGAACTAAACATGGGGAGGCAGCGTTTCTGATTTCTGCCGCTAAAATCTGGAACAGTCTTACTGAAAATGTGAGACAGGCTTCTACTCTGACAATGTTGAAATCCAGGTCAAAGAAAAAGGTTAGAATATCTAGGTTAAAATCCGGGTTAAAATCCAGATTATAATATTTGGTTAAAATCCAGATTAAAATCCAGATTATAATATTTGGTTAAAATTCAGATTAAAATTCAGATTAAAATCCAGATTAAAATCCAGATTAAAATAATAGGTTATAATCCAGGGTAAAATCTAATCCAGGTTAAAAAAAAAATAGGTCAAAATACAAGTTAAAAAATCTAGGTTAAAATCGAGGTTAAATCTATATTTGTTTCTAAGTCTTTTAAATGTCCTGTAATTATTGATTTATTTATGATTGTTTCGATCTTTAATCCCTTGTGTATGAACTGTGCCATACAAATAAAAAAGCTCTGGACTCTGACCGTTATAACTCGCTCGGTCCTAAAATAAGTTTTGTGTTTTTCTTTTCCAGTTCCCAGCTCAGTCTCAGGCCAACAACAACTCCAGCCCCAACTGTTTAAGTGACGAGGACCGAGCGGAGGCCGAGGCGCTCAAGACGGAAGGTACTCAGAGCTCGTCCTGGTCTCCTCCTCACGGTCACATCCCCTTTAACCCTTAAAAGACGATGCCATCGCCGACGATGGTGGCGCACATGTTTTACAAATGATCAATTTACTCGCGAACGGTGAACGCTAGCGACTTACTCTTATCTCCGTGAAGTACACATTCCAGCCTTTCCGAAACTGCCTTCGGTTTTTCTCTGCTACATACGGGGGATAAACTACGTGTGTATGAAAGTCAGTCCCCCAATCGGATCTTCAAGCGGTGCCCCGTGAGCCAGGCACAGCCGCATGTGAAGTTATTTACACACACGGGGACTCAGACAAAGATTGTCAGAGAGTGAGATGGCTCACTCCTCTGTGTTTACTTGTTGCAGGATAGGCAGCAGCGCTCAGAGGAACCAGAGGAGTTCGCATTATTGAGAATAGACAATAATAAATACAGTAAAATTATATTATGTGTATATAATGTATTTATATATATATAAATTATATGTTTTTTTTTTTTTTTGTCTTTGTCTTTGTTTCTTTTTTTTAACATTTTACAGCTGTGATACAGAAGCAACCACAGCCTCATAGACAAACTGCTTGAGGAAGGGCATCAGGAGTACAGCGTTTTTGGCTTTTATAGAGGAATTTTGTAAAAAGTATAATAGTTACGGATTCAAATTTTTTCCTCATTATCACCAAGACCATAAAACACATTTCTATGGAGTCTAAAAAGTTGTTTATAGCATTTCATTGTGTTTTTTCAATACATTTTTGTGAAATTGATTTTCCGTTTCGATTTTTTCTTTTGTCTTCATGACTCCAAATTTTTATATAATTGATATGACAGCTCTAAAATATAGATATTCTAAAACCCCAGGTTGTACTGAAAAAAACAAAGTATACTGCTTGACTCTGCATCAAAAAATGACTGTTTTATGAGCAATTATACACAAAGAAAACCAGGCGAGGAAAGTTCTCCAAAATGACCCTAGACCTTGGAGGGTTAAAGCTGGGGTACCTAACTTTACGTGTTTCATAATTGACACGTGTAGTTTGTCCAACAGAAAGAAAGTCTGTGGAAGTAAAATGTTGTGCACAAATCGGACCAAAACACGCGGTCTTCATGTTATCATCTGTGTTAGAAAGAGCGGGTTATTTGGTCTCTTTCTCTGGTCGCTCCCTCGCTCTAGTCTCTCTGGTCTCTCTTTCTGATCTCCCTGGTCCCCCTCTAGTCGCTCTGATCTCTTGCTGGTCTCTCTGGTATCACTCTTTCTGGTCCCTGATCTTTCTCTCTGGCTTCTCTCTGGTCTCCCTCTCTGGTCTCCCTCTCTGGTCTCCCTCTCTGGTCTCCCTCTCTGGTCTCCCTCTCTGGTCTCCCTCTCTGGTCTCCCTCTCTGGTCTCCCTCTCTGGTCTCCCTCTCTGGTCTCCCTTTCTGGTCTCGCTCTCTGGTCTCTCTCTGGTCTCCCTCTCTGGTCTCCCTCTCTGGTCTCTCTGGTCTCGCTCTCTGGTCTCTCTCTGGTCTCTCTCTCTGCTTTCTCTCTCTGGTCTCCCTCTCTGGTCTCCCTCTCTGGTCTCCCTCTCTGGTCTCTCTCTCTCTGGTCTCTCTCTCTCTGGTCTCTCTCTCTGGTCTCTCTCTCTGGTCTCCCTCTGTTTTCTCTCACTGGTCTCTCTCTGGTCTCTCTCTCTGGTCTCTCTCTCTCTGGTCTCTCTCTGGTCTCTGCATGATGGCTGATTTATCTTTAAACATATTTTGTCTGTATCATGTTTTTGTAGGAAATGAACAGATGAGAGTGGAGAATTATTCAGCTGCGGTGGAGTTTTACTCACAGGCCATTGTACTCAACCCTCAGAATGCTGTGTACTTCTGCAACAGGTGAGAAACCCTCGTGTTCAGTAGCAGTAGTCACAGTAGTAGTAATATGAGTTTTTGTTTTTCAGAGCTGCAGCCCTCAGTAAACTGGGGAACTACGCAGGAGCTGTACAAGACTGTGAACAGGCCATCAACATAGACCCAAAATACAGCAAAGCATATGGACGCATGGGGTAAGGACTGGGGCAGAGAGGCTGGAGGGAGAGAGGCTGGAGGGAGAGAGCCTGTAGGCAGACAGAGAGGCTGTAGGCAGGCAGAGAGGCTGGAGGCAGGCAGAGAGGCTGGAGGCAGGCAGAGAGGCTGGAGGCAGGCAGAGAGGCTGGAGGCAGGCAGAGAGGCTGGAGGCAGGCAGAGAGGCTGGAGGCAGGCAGAGAGGCTGGAGGCAGGCAGAGAGGCTGGAGGCAGGCAGAGAGGCTGGAGGCAGGCAGAGAGGCTGGAGGCAGGCAGAGAGGCTGGAGGCAGGCAGAGAGGCTGGAGGCAGGCAGAGAGGCTGGAGGCAGGCAGAGAGGCTGGAGGCAGGCAGAGAGGCTGGAGGCAGGCAGAGAGGCTGGAGGCAGGCAGAGAGGCTGGAGGCAGGCAGAGAGGCTGGAGGCAGGCAGAGAGGCTGGAGGCAGGCAGAGAGGCTGGAGGCAGGCAGAGAGGCTGGAGGCAGGCAGAGAGGCTGGAGGCAGGCAGAGAGGCTGGAGGCAGGCAGAGAGGCTGGAGCAGGCAGGCAGGCAGAGAGGCTGGAGGCAGGCAGAGAGGCTGGAGGCAGGCAGAGAGGCTGGAGGCAGGCAGAGAGGCTGGAGGCAGGCAGAGAGGCTGGAGGCAGGCAGAGAGGCTGTAGGCAGGCAGAGAGGCTGTAGGCAGGCAGAGAGGCTGGAGGCAGGCAGAGAGGCTGGAGGCAGGCAGAGAGGCTGGAGGCAGGCAGAGAGGCTGGAGGCAGGCAGAGAGGCTGGAGGCAGGCAGAGAGGCTGGAGGCAGGCAGAGAGGCTGTAGGCAGGCAGAGAGGCTGGAGGCAGGCAGAGAGGCTGGAGGCAGGCAGAGAGGCTGGAGGCAGGCAGAGAGGCTGGAGGCAGGCAGAGAGGCTGGAGGCAGGCAGAGAGGCTGGAGGCAGGCAGAGAGGCTGGAGGCAGGCAGAGAGGCTGGAGGCAGGCAGAGAGGCTGGAGGCAGGCAGAGAGGCTGGAGGCAGGCAGAGAGGCTGGAGGCAGGCAGAGAGGCTGGAGGCAGGCAGAGAGGCTGGAGGCAGGCAGAGAGGCTGGAGGCAGGCAGAGAGGCTGGAGGCAGGCAGAGAGGCTGGAGGCAGGCAGAGAGGCTGGAGGCAGGCAGAGAGGCTGGAGGCAGGCAGAGAGGCTGGAGGCAGGCAGAGAGGCTGGAGGCAGGCAGAGAGGCTGGAGGCAGGCAGAGAGGCTGGAGGCAGGCAGAGAGGCTGGAGGCAGGCAGAGAGGCTGGAGGCAGGCAGAGAGGCTGGAGGCAGGCAGAGAGGCTGGAGGCAGGCAGAGAGGCTGGAGGCAGGCAGAGAGGCTGGAGGCAGGCAGAGAGGCTGGAGGCAGGCGAGAGGCTGGAGGCAGGAGAGGCTGTAGGCAGGCAGAGAGGCTGTAGGCAGGCAGAGAGGCTGTAGGCAGGCAGAGAGGCTGTAGGCAGGCAGAGAGGCTGGAGGCAGGCAGAGAGGCTGGAGGCAGGCAGAGAGGCTGGAGGCAGGCAGAGAGGCTGGAGGCAGGCAGAGAGGCTGGAGGCAGGCAGAGAGGCTGGAGGCAGGCAGAGAGGCTGTAGGCAGGCAGAGAGGCTGTAGGCAGGCAGAGAGGCTGTAGGCAGGCAGAGAGGCTGTAGGCAGGCAGAGAGGCTGGAGGCAGGCAGAGAGGCTGGAGGCAGGCAGAGAGGCTGGAGGCAGGCAGAGAGGCTGGAGGCAGGCAGAGAGTGAGGCAGGCAGAGAGGCTGGAGGCAGGCAGAGAGGCTGGAGGCAGGCAGAGAGGCTGGAGGCAGGCAGAGAGGCTGGAGGCAGGCAGAGAGGCTGGAGGCAGGCAGAGAGGCTGGAGGCAGGCAGAGAGGCTGGAGGCAGGCAGAGGCTGGAGGCAGAGAGGCTGGAGGCAGGCAGAGAGGCTGGAGGCAGGCAGAGAGGCTGGAGGCAGGCAGAGAGGCTGGAGGCAGGCAGAGAGGCTGGAGGCAGGCAGAGAGGCTGGAGGCAGGCAGAGAGGCTGGAGGCAGGCAGAGAGGCTGGAGGCAGGCAGAGAGGCTGGAGGCAGGCAGAGAGGCTGGAGGCAGGCAGAGAGGCTGGAGGCAGGCAGAGAGGCTGGAGGCAGGCAGAGAGGCTGGAGGCAGGCAGAGAGGCTGGAGGCAGGCAGAGAGGCTGGAGGCAGGCAGAGAGGCTGGAGGCAGGCAGAGAGGCTGGAGGCAGGCAGAGAGGCTGGAGGCAGGCAGAGAGGCTGGAGGCAGGCAGAGAGGCTGGAGGCAGGCAGAGAGGCTGGAGGCAGGCAGAGAGGCTGGAGGCAGGCAGAGAGGCTGGAGGCAGGCAGAGAGGCTGGAGGCAGGCAGAGAGGCTGGAGGCAGGCAGAGAGGCTGGAGGCAGGCAGAGAGGCTGGAGGCAGGCAGAGAGGCTGGAGGGAGGCAGAGAGGCTGGAGGGAGGCAGAGAGGCTGGAGGGAGGCATAGAGGCTGGAGGGAGCCTTAAAGCAAAAATGGCCCAGTACGTTGCAGATCCAAACCCAGGCTTGTTGTGAATGTCCTTGTAAATCCCCGGGTCCTGCTTTTGTGTGAGTCTGTGCCGTGTGTGCTGCAGCCTGGCGTTGGCGAGTCTGAACAAGCACAATGAAGCCGTGGGGTACTACAAGAAAGCTCTGGAGCTGGACCCCGACAACGAAACCTACAAGTCCAACCTGAAGATCGCAGAGGACAAGATGGACACCTCCAGTCCGGTCAGTGCCAGAGACAGGAGACACACACTTTACCACGAGACGAGGGACTAAGATTACAAAACATTTAAAGTATTGCTCCCAACCAGGTCTGACCGCTGTGAGGCCCAGTCCCTCTTACCGCTGACCTGATGGAGCTTTGTGCTTTGACTGTGCCTCCCTCACTCTCTGAAATTAGTGTCAAAATCACAGCAGAGAGAAGAATAAGGAAAAACTAACGCTGCACTGGATGAAGCAAAACACTGAAATGCTACCAATAATAATATTGTCCTTCGCTCCAAAACATATTTAACGTGATGGTTTTCCTGTACATAGAAATACACAAAGCCCTTAATATTAACATTAATATTTATTGATAATGAATAATTATCAATGATAATTTTCAACAAGCGCTTTGTGAACACAATATGTTCACAAGACAAACAAATACAGTTTGTCTAATCTCGTTCTTCTGCATGGACACATTATCAACCCGAGAGACCCAGCTGTCGGCCGGCCTGTCGTGTTAGCCACAGGCATCATGTCAGTAAAATGACGTCTGCGTAAAAGCCGTCGGACGAGCTTCTGGACAGAACACTGGGACTGAACCAAAGAGTTTGAATCAGGTTTAACTGTTGTTTCTGTCCTCAGACGTCCGGAATGGGTGGCGTGGATCTCGCCGGACTCCTCAGTAACCCCGGCTTCATGAACATGGTAAGAACCAGAGTTAGTTCTGTATTTTTCTTTTATAATTCTGCAAATAACAAACTGTTGTGATGCTCTTTGCGCAGGCGTCGTCTTTGATGAACAACCCTCAGGTGCAGCAGCTGTAAGTCCTTCACACAGCTCCACGACAACGGCTCAAAGTTTCATATAGTTCCACTAATTCCACTCGTGTTTCAGGATGTCGGGGATGATGTCTGGAGCGATGGGACCAGGGCCAGTACCGGGACCCGGACCAGGACCTGCAGCTGCGGCCTCTGCTGCAGCTTCTGCTGCTGCGTCTGCTGCGGCTGGACCAGGAGATCTGACTGGACTCATCCAGGCGTGAGTCACATAACCAAGCAGAGCTGAAGATCTCAACCCGAGCCCGACAGGATCTCTCTCTCTGGTCTCTCTCTGGTCTCTTTCTCTGGTCTCTCTCTGGTCTCTCTCTCTGGTCTCTCTCTCTCTGGTCTCTCTCTCTCTCTGGTCTCTCTCTCTGGTCCCTTTCTGGTCTCTGGGGTTTCTGTAAATTCCTGGGCTACCTTGCATGAACTGTGCGTTACATCTCTTTAAATTGCACCTATTTCAGTTGTAGTTTTCAGTCTTTTTGGGTCTTTCTGCCCTGTTGAAAACTGAGCCATTGACTTCTTTGAGACCTCTTTGAGACCTCTTTGAGACCTCTTTGAGACCTCTTTGAGACCTCTTTGAGACCTCTTGAAGCACTTTCTGACAGGAGTCTGGTTTGTTGGTTCCAGGGGACAGCAGTTTGCGCAGCAGATGCAGCAGCAGAACCCTGAACTCATCGAGCAGCTGAGGAGCCAGATCAGAAACAGGCCTCCGAGTGCAAGCAACGAGGACCAGCCCTGACCCCAGTGCAGGTGAGAGACCAGAGGGACGGGGGAGGAAGGGGAACTGCATGTAACCGGAAACTGGATCCTACTGAGACGAGGCCAGTAGATGCATTTAAGAGCACAGGGGAAGCCATACTGATATTAGAAATGTATGTATTTGGACGCACTTAGGCCTAATTTTCTATTCTCTTCCAGTTCGGACCATTTCAGAGCTGTGGTTTTGTTGCCGATCCGGACTCCAGGGGGCGTCGTTTCCGTCTCTGAATATTCCCCGCATGAAGAGCAGCAGCAGAAGAAGCCCGTGTGGTTTTTAGGGGCCGCCCGTCCAGAGCTCTACTCGCGTCACCTTTAAAGACGTAGCGCGCATTTATTTAAAACCAAACTCTCGTCCCTAAAAACGGCACGGTGGGACGCGTGTCGGAGCGTGTGGCTGCAAATGTACATGTGTGTGTGAGTGAAGCGTGTGTGCCAGAGGACATTAAAGTACATCTCATCGTTTTACACCCGCCCACTGTCTCTGACTCTTCTTTCTGTCCAAAGCTGTCATTCATGACCAGTTAGAAGCTGTAAGAAGTGTAATCTACCGTAGACCACTCATGGATAAACCCTTGGCCCTTTGGACGCTCCTATGAGGTGTCTGAACCCTACCAAGTTTACAAATAATATTATGAAAACTATAAAATCCCTCTGCTGCGTTCAGAGTTCTGGAACCACACTCCTCGCTCTGCCGCAATGTATTATGGTCATTTTATTTTGTATAATGACTATAATATAATTGAGCCTGAGAAAAACATTGGAAATGAGTTCCGGCTCTCAACAGCAGACCGATATACAAATGTGGCCTTCAGGAGGAAGACTTTGCCCATGCCTTCTAAAGACTGTAGGCTTGGACGTTTATTAATTAATTAATTAAAGAACTGTGGTCTGAAAGTTACAACAGCTGTAACTTTGTATTCCTTCATAAACTAGACGTGTATATTGTGTTTTGTGTTATTACCATTGTTATTACTGCACTCATCTTCATTTGTATTGGACGTAAATGAAAACTTCAGGTCCTTCAATATGTAAACAAATGTAACTAGACTAAAACGTAAATAGTTACATTATGCCAGTGGGTAAGGGAGGGGCGGGACGCCAGGGAACAAGAGTAGTTACCAGAGAAAATAAACAAGTATTTTTCCTAGATACAAATGAAGCAGAAGGTGGATTAAAATAGAAAGTATTTCAAAGAGCGTGTGTGGGTTTTTATTGATTTTGGTTAATGGAGTTGAGCGTATTGTTTATTTTTGTATAGAGAAAATAAATGTTTTGAAAATTGAATTTCTATTTTACAATTTTGACTTGATTTACAATTTAAGCCCAAATAATTAACAGAGTAAATATTTATCCTCATTATTGTTCATACATTTAATTAAAAAGTAGCAGTTTGTTGACATTATTTTCACGTCATCGCGCTGTGGACCAATCAGCGCCGCTCTGAGGGGAAATGCGGAAGCGTCTCGTGCTCTACACCTGCTCCACTTCCGCAAAGGACAAAAGTGTGATTTTTCAGGTAAACAAAGCATGAAAACCAGAGTTACGTGTTTTCTCTGTTTGTGTGCGGGTTCTGTGTCCTTCTCAAAGCTGCGGGTTCTATTCCGCGGACGTGAAGAGTTCGGGCTGAGGCGCCGGAACACGGACATAAAGGTTCAATATCAGGAGATACCGTGAGTTTTAGGAAGTTGACCGGTAGAAGACAGAGGTGTTAAAGCTCGGGTCTCTCTTTCACGTTTGTCATGTGCCCACCTGGCAAAGTGCGGCCTGGGGGCCACATCAGGTCCGATTCACATCACTCTGCGGCCCCCGACCCTTCCCATGACGTCAGTTGCTTATTAAAAGGAATCAGGAGTCGTTTCCCAGTAAAGGCTTGTAACTTAATCTGTGCAACTGTGACATGTCATGAGTTAATTCTGTTCTCATTAATAACATGAAATAAAACAATCACATGAAAACTGCTCCGGTCCTCCACAATATCCCAATGTGGCCTCCACGAAGAAAATAATTGGCCACCCCTAAAAATACACCAAACAAACAGATGCCGTGATTTATGATACTATGTGGAGGATGTTGCTACTTAAACCCGTACTGCAGTGTACAAACCACATCAGGTCCAGGACTGAGGCTGTAGACCCAGGACTGAGGCTGTAGACCCAGGACTGAGGCTGTAGACCCAGGACTGAGGCTGTAGATCCAGGACTGAGGCTGTAGATCCAGGACTGAGGCTGTAGACCCAGGACTGAGGCTGTAGATCCAGGACTGAGGCTGTAGACCCAGGACTGAGGCTGTAGACCCAGGACTGAGGCTGTAGACCCAGGACTGAGGCTGTAGACCCAGGACTGAGGCTGTAGACCCAGGACTGAGACTGCAGACCCAGGACTGAGGCTGTAGACCCAGGACTGAGACTGCAGACCCAGGACTGAGGCTGTAGACCCAGGACTGAGACTGCAGACCCAGGACTGAGGCTGTAGACCCAGGACTGAGGCTGTAGATCCAGGACTGAGGCTGTAGACCCAGGACTGAGGCTGTAGACCCAGGACTGAGACTGCAGACCCAGGACTGAGGCTGTAGACCCAGGACTGAGGCTGTAGATCCAGGACTGAGGCTGTAGACCCAGGACTGAGGCTGTAGACCCAGGACTGAGACTGCAGACCCAGGACTGAGGCTGTAGACCCAGGACTGAGACTGTAGACCCAGGACTGAGACTGCAGACCCAGGACTGAGACTGCAGACCCAGGACTGAGGCTGTAGACCCAGGACTGAGACTGCAGACCCAGGACTGAGGCTGTAGACCCAGGACTGAGGCTGTAGACCCAGGACTGAGCCTGTAGACCCAGGACTGAGGCTGTAGACCCAGGACTGAGGCCGTAGACCCAGGACTGAGGCTGCAGACCCAGGACTGAGACTGCAGACCCAGGACTGAGGCTGTAGACCCAGGACTGAGACTGCAGACCCAGGACTGAGACTGTAGACCCAGGACTGAGACTGCAGACCCAGGACTGAGGCTGTAGATCCAGGACTGAGGCTGTAGACCCAGGACTGAGGCTGTAGACCCAGGACTGAGACTGCAGACCCAGGACTGAGGCTGTAGACCCAGGACTGAGACTGTAGACCCAGGACTGAGACTGCAGACCCAGGACTGAGGCTGTAGATCCAGGACTGAGACTGCAGACCCAGGACTGAGGCTGTAGACCCAGGACTGAGACTGCAGACCCAGGACTGAGGCTGTAGACCCAGGACTGAGACTGCAGACCCAGGACTGAGGCTGTAGACCCAGGACTGAGACTGCAGACCCAGGACTGAGGCTGTAGACCCAGGACTGAGACTGCAGACCCAGGACTGAGGCTGTAGACCCAGGACTGAGGCTGTAGACCCAGGACTGAGGCTGTAGACCCAGGACTGAGGCTGCAGACCCAGGACTGAGACTGCAGACCCAGGACTGAGGCTGTAGACCCAGGACTGAGACTGCAGACCCAGGACTGAGACTGTAGACCCAGGACTGAGACTGCAGACCCAGGACTGAGGCTGTAGACCCAGGACTGAGGCTGTAGATCCAGGACTGAGGCTGTAGATTCAGGACTGAGGCTGTAGACCCAGGACTGAGACTGCAGACCCAGGACTGAGGCTGTAGACCCAGGACTGAGGCTGTAGATCCAGGACTGAGACTGCAGACCCAGGACTGAGGCTGTAGACCCAGGACTGAGGCTGCAGACCCAGGACTGAGACTGCAGACCCAGGACTGAGGCTGTAGACCCAGGACTGAGACTGCAGACCCAGGACTGAGGCTGTAGACCCAGGACTGAGGCTGTAGACCCAGGACTGAGGCTGTAGATCCAGGACTGAGGCTGTAGATCCAGGACTGAGGCTGTAGACCCAGGACTGGGGCTGTAGACCCAGGACTGAGGCTGTAGATCCAGGACTGAGGCTGTAGATCCAGGACTGAGGCTGTAGACCCAGGACTGAGGCTGTAGATCCAGGACTGAGGCTGTAGACCCAGGACTGAGACTGCAGACCCAGGACTGAGACTGCAGACCCAGGACTGAGGCTGTAGACCCAGGACTGAGACTGCAGACCCAGGACTGAGGCTGTAGACCCAGGACTGAGGCTGTAGACCCAGGACTGAGGCTGTAGATCCAGGACTGAGGCTGTAGATCCAGGACTGAGGCTGTAGACCCAGGACTGAGGCTGTAGACCCAGGACTGGGGCTGTAGACCCAGGACTGAGGCTGTAGATCCAGGACTGAGGCTGTAGATCCAGGACTGAGGCTGTAGACCCAGGACTGAGGCTGTAGATCCAGGACTGAGGCTGTAGATCCAGGACTGAGGCTGTAGACCCAGGACTGAGACTGCAGACCCAGGACTGAGGCTGTAGACCCAGGACTCAGTCTGAGGCTGTCGCTGAGTCCATATTTGACCTGTCCAGTGTGGTCCTGTCTGTCCCAGGGCAGGTGATGCAGTAGTCCCGCTCTCATCATGCTGTTGTTGTGGCTGAAGTTACTGGGGACACTGGGGCTGTTTGTGGTGATGCTGGCAGGAGTCCTGGTGCCAGTGCGCCTCCTGCTGGTGGATCAGGGGAAGGCGCAGAGCTACAGCCGCCCACTGTCTCTGTGCAACGCCTTCAGTGGAGGAGTGTTCCTCGCCACGTGCTTCAACGCTCTGCTGCCCGCCGTCAGGGACAAGGTCGGTACTGCTGCTGCTGCTGGTACTGCTACTGGTACTACTGCTGCTATTACTACTACTACTACTGGTACTACTGCTACTGCTACTCCTATACTCCTGCTGTTACTACCGCAATTACTACTACTACTATTACTACTACTACTACTACTACTACTGCTACTGGTACTACTGCTGCTATTACTACTACTACTGGTACTACTGCTACTGCTGCTATTACTACTACTACTACTGGTACTACTGCTACTGCTGCTATTACTACTACTACTACTGGTACTACTGCTACTGCTACTCCTATACTCCTGCTGTTACTACCGCAATTACTACTACTACTATTACTACTACTACTACTACTACTGCTACTGGTACTACTGCTGCTATTACTACTACTACTGGTACTACTGCTACTGCTGCTATTACTACTACTACTACTGGTACTACTGCTACTGCTACTCCTATACTCCTGCTGTTACTACCGCAATTACTACTACTACTATTACTACTACTACTACTACTACTGCTACTGGTACTACTGCTGCTATTACTACTACTACTGCTGCTACTGCTGCTACTGCTACTCCTATACTCCTGCTGTTACTACCGCAATTACTACTACTACTATTACTACTACTACTACTACTACTGCTACTGGTACTGGTACACCTATACTGCTGCTGTTACTACAACTACAACCATTACTACTACTGCGACTACTATACTGCTGCTGCTGCTACTGCTACTTCTACTGGTGCTGCTACTATATAACAAAGCATCTCTCATCTATGTTCTTCCAGGTGTCGGAGGTGTGCGCGGCGCTCCAGGTATCGTCTGATTACCCTCTGGCCGAGACGATGATGATGATGGGTTTCTTCCTCACCGTCTTCGTGGAGCAGGCGGTCCTCACGTTCCGTAAAGAGCGCCCGTCCTTCATCACCCTGGAGACTTTCAACGCGGGCGGCTCGGACGTAGGCAGCGACTCCGAGTGCGACACGCCCTTCATCTCCAGCCCGCAGCACCACGGCCACGCCCACTTCGACCCGGCCCGCCTCTCCTCTGCCGGGCCGCTGCGCCTCGTGAGTCTGGTGCTCGCTCTCTCCGCTCACTCTGTGTTCGAAGGCGTGGCGCTCGGGCTGCAGGACGACGCGGCGCGGCTGGCTCGCCTCTTCGTGGGCGTGGCCGTGCACGAGACGCTAGCAGCTGTCGCGCTGGGAGTTAGCGTCGCGAAAGCCTCCATATCTCCGGCGGCTGCAGCAAAACTGGCCGTGACGGTGAGCCTGATGATTCCACTGGGGGTAGTGGTGGGAGCTAGCGTGCAGGCTGCGCAGACGTTAGCCGGGAGCATCGCCTCGGTGCTGCTGCAGGGCGTCGCTGCCGGAACGTTCCTCTTTGTGACGTTCTTTGAGATCTTGTGGCGTGAGCTGGAGGGGAAACAGGACCGACTGCTCAAGGTGCTGTTCCTGGTCCTGGGCTACGCCTCGCTCGCCGTGCTCGTGCTGGTCAAATGGTGACGCGCACAAGACAGACTCAGCTCTTAATGCGCACATCTGTGGTTATACCTGAGAGCACGCACACATACACACACACATACACACAAACAGAGACACATACACACATACACACACACATAGACACAGACAGAGACACACTCATAGACACAGATATACACACACACATAGACACAGACAGACACACACACACACATAGACACAGACACGCATACACACGGACTAGCACACACAGCCACGCACACACGTATACAAGCAAACACACACACACACACACACTGCAATTTGTTACTGAACTGTCGCAGTCTAATCCCGCCTTTAACACCGTGCTCTGTAAAACCTGGAATTATCCGGTTCCTTTTTATATTCATCATTTTAACCAAACTGTTTTTACTCTGTTAAGAACATTGGGCCTCATTCACGAATAACTTCGTAAGAAACTACTCAACTTTCTTCTCAAGTTGTCCTTAAGTAGATTTCTAAAGGGGCGTTCACACCGGACTTAACTTCGGCGTCAAAAGCGTCAGGTTTCCATTGAAAGTGAATGGTGAAGCGCGTCAGGTGAAGCCGAGAGCCCCGGCGTCACTTGACGCGCGTCAAAAGCTTCAAGAGTCGCGCGTACTACGCGCTCACTTGAAGCTTTTGACGCGCGAAACGCTCGCGTATCACAACAATCCCTTTGACGCCGAAGCTGAGCAAAGCTGAGCTTTTGAAGCTTTGACGCGGGCTTCAACCAATCAGGAGACGAGGAGCAGCAGCAGCAGAGGGTCTGTCTCTGTCATGGAGAGAAGTCATGTATCTGCTGCTGCTGTTTTATTGTCATTATTGTTATTAGTAATATTATTTGTATGAGTAGTAACGTTCTGAGTAACAAAAATCATTGTATACATGCTGTGTAGTAAACGTAGTTTATTTAAAATAAGAACAGGCTGACGATGAGTCTGGCTCAGAGCAAGGCAGCTCCGGGCGGGCGAGAGCCGGGGAGAGGCAGGGAGAGGCGGGGAGAGGCGAGCGAGAGGCAGGGAGAGGCGAGCGAGAGGCAGGGAGAGGCGGGGAGAGGCAGGGAGAGGCAGGGGGAGGCAGGGAGAGGCAGGGAGAGGCGAGCGAGAGGCAGGGAGAGGCGAGCGAGAGGCAGGGAGAGGCAGGGGGAGGCAGGGAGAGGCAGGGAGAGGTGAGCGAGAGGCAGGGAGAGCCGGGGAGAGGCGAGCTCCGGGGTTTGAGAACTCAGACTGGGCGAGTGACATGCGGAAGTACCGCTGAAAGCGAAACTCCTCCGTACGCAGCTCCTGGAGTAAATGACGGAACTCTGCAAACACTGCAGCCTCTCAAGTCTGCGGTGAACCCAGAACATGTTTTGTTGAAGCCCTACAACAACGTTATTTTGCTTTATATAACAAATAAAGGCTCGCTGCTCATTGAAAAATCCACCGCTGTCCTGACTACAGACAACAGAGAAGCTCCTCCCACAGACAACAGAGAAGCTCCTCCCACCGGCGTCAGGCGCGTCACTCGCGTCAAAAGCTTCAAGCACCAAAATGACAAAACTATCCCGGCGTCAGTTGAAGCGCGTCAAAAGCTTTTTGAAGCTTTTGGTCTGAACGCGCCTTAAGAAGTCCCCACGTGGGATTCATCAACGCACTCGTAAGCCGCTGAATTGTTCGCAGCTGTTCTCTCAGATTGATGAATCCCATTTCCTCGTAAGTACAGCGCGCGTGCCAGGTGCTTCATTAGCATAGGTACTTAGCATAAGTAACCGCCCACTAATGCCCATATAAGGGACTGCAGGGCCGTGTGCAGACGGCAGAGGAAACAGCAACAGGCCTAAAGCAACGAGTTACACTTCTTTTACCAGACTGAGAATAAAGTTATAAAATGTTGACTTAAAAGTCGAAATATTATGATAATAAAGTCGAACTAGCAAAATTATGAGATTAATCTAAGAATATGATGAGATTAATCTCAAAATGTTATGAGCTTAATTTAAAAATATATTATGTATTATTTTAAAGATGAATCTCAAAATGTTTTGAGATTAATCTCAAAATATTTTGGACCCTGGGAGGAGATCCAGCGCGGACCAGCGCTGAGACCAATGCAGACCCGAGGAGAGACTGGAGTGACCAGCACACAGAAACCAGCGCGGACCTATAGGAGAGACCGCATAGACTGGAGTGGCCTGACTGGAGAGACCGGTGCGCAGAGACCAGCGCGGACCGAAGATAGACCGCATAGACCAGACTTGAGAGACCAGCGCGGACCCGTATGGATCCAGGAGCATGCAGCACGGACCCGTATGGAGAGAGACCAGTGCAGACCCGTATATGGGAGAGACCAGTGCAGACCCGTATAGATCCATGGGAGAGACCAGTGCAGACCAGTATAGATCCATAGGAGAGACCAGCGCAGAGACTCAGCGCGGACCCAGTAACCTCCTGCAGCAGCAGTATATATGCCGTTGTTCTGTGGCCCGTGGATAAAGAAATGCCCCCTATAAATAGGAAGGGGTCACTAATACACGGCAAGATTTCCAATGTATTTGATAAAGCGTTGGCACATTTCGTTTCAAAATGAATTAAAAAGTAGGCCAGATCTGCAGTGAAAAAGGCGGTATATAAATAAAGATTACTAATAAAGATTACTACAAATAAATAAATACATACATCGATATGACGGACATATCACTGGAATGTTGTATTTTTATTCAACTTCACCAAAGAGGACAACCCCAGCGTGTGAACATGTCGGCACTGAATGCGTACGAGTGCTCCTGAGGACTCGTAGGATTTGTACTTGCCCAAGAGAAATTCTGGTTACGAGAAATATTCGTGAATGCCACTTTCTTCGTAAAAACCGCGTAAGTAGGATTTACGTACAAATCTGTTCCTAAGAACCGTTCGTGAATGAGGCCCATTGTAAGTCAACTTTCTTTATCCAGCACCTTTCAGACAAAAGAAGTCATAAAGTGCTTCTGTTTGGTCTAGTGCACAGACACTTTGACGTGTAGCAAAAGAGCTGCTTCTTTATTTTCAGTGGGACAAAAGTGAACCCTCCACTTTCATCCAGAACCTTCTCCTTTTTCACCAAAGACACAGCTACAGCTCAATGAGACGCTAACCTCCTGTCCACAAACACAAACAAATAAGATCATTACACAAAACAAAATACAGATATTTTAATGCGTCCCGGGTTTACGTGGCAGTCCCTGAATTTTGCAGCTCTACAAAAATATTTTTTGACGTCTCGAACTTGATTCAAATCCTCAAATAAAACCTTTGAATCTTGATTATTGACAGAGAGAGAGAGACTTGAAGGAATCAGAGTGAGACCAGAGAGAGAGACCAGAAACAGATCAGAGAGAGACCAGAGTGAGACCAGAGTGAGACCAGAGAGAGACCAGAGTGAGACCAGAGTGAGACCAGAGAGAGACCAGAGAGAGACCAGAGAGAGACCAGAGAGAGACCAGAGAGAGAGACCAGAAACAGATCAGAGAGAGACCAGAGTGAGACCAGAATGAGACCAGAGAGAGAGACCAGAGTGAGACCAGAGAGAGAGACCAGAGTGAGACCAGAGTGAGACCAGAGTGAGACCAGAGTGAGACCAGAGTGAGACCAGAGTGAGACCAGAGTGAGACCAGAGAGAGACCAGAGAGAGACCAGAGAGAGACCAGAGAGAGACCAGAGAGAGACCAGAGAGAGACCAGAGAGAGACCAGAGAGAGACCAGAGAGAGACCAGAGAGAGACCAGAGAGAGACCAGAGAGAGACCAGAAACAGATCAGAGTGAGATCAGAGTGAGATCAGAATGAGACCAGAGTGAGACCAGAGAGACCAGAGACAGATCAGAGAGAGACCAGAAACAGATCAGAGAGAGACCAGAGAGAGAGACCAGAAAGAGACCAGAAAGAGACCAGAGTGAGACCAGAGAGAGACTGGAGCATCTTAATAATCGTACTGTGTTTAAATAATTATGTATATTTAAAAACTGGTCATTATTTGTCATTTCTTTGGTCTGTGTCAAATACAACATATTTATTATTATTAACTGTTTAGAGTCACACAGAGTAGAATATTCAGGGAAAACCTTTTATGTAACTGCTGTAGTGATTTAAACTTCTAAATGTTAAAATAATCATTCTCTAAAGTCTTTTGTAAATCGTGGAAGAGATTTCTTTGTTATAGATTTTGTATTTATTGAATCAAATGTAAATAAAATGATTGAAACCAAAATCTGGTGTTTTATTTGTGGTACATTTGTGGTTAGCAAACGTCCGGCAGAAGGGGCAAAGATTATCACAGATTTTGTGGAATGTTGCAGCTAACGTCCAGATAAAGAAGAGGTTTAGAGTCTGATCCAGGTCTGCTCCAGTCCCAGTCTCCATGGTCTAGAGTCTCCTGGGTTCCTCTGTTTTGGTCCCTCTGATCTTGACAGTCTCTGGTCTGGGGAGTCTGGTTTCTTTCGCTATCTGGTCGCTCTCTCTCTCTCTCTTGGTGGCCTCTCTTGCTGGTCTCTCTCTGGTCTCTCCCTGGTCACTCCTTTGTCTCTCTCTAGTCTCTCTCTAGTCTCTCTCTGGTCTCTCTCTAGTCTCTCTCTGGTCTCTCTCCACTCTCTCTGGTCTCTCCCTCTGGTCTCCCTCTCTATAGTCCCTCTCTAGTCTCTCTCTGGTCTCTCTCTGGTCTTCCCATAACCCCCAGTCCTGCTCCTGCCTCCGAAGATGCATTCTACAGTGCACGCACAGCTTTTCACAGCTGCAGCAGCGCTCAGAAAACAACAGCTCTCTAGTGTCTCTCTGGTCCTTGGATCTAGTCTAGTCCAGCCACAGTGGGGCGGCTGCGGCTGTAAAGTGCCAAACTGCCGTTGTGTCCTTAGGCAAGACACTTCACCCCCATTGCCTAGAATGAGTCTGGTGTGTGTGTGAATGGTTGGTGGTGGTCAGAGGGGCCGATGGCACATACTGGTTGCCTCGCTTCTGTCAGTGTGCCCCAGGGCAGCTGTGGCTACATTAGTAGTTTATCACCACCGTGTATGGAGTGAATGAATAATGACACATGTGAAGCGTCTTTGAGTGTCCAAAAAAGCGCTATATAAAACCGATGCATTATTATTCATTATTATTAGTCCAGGGAAGTCAAATCGGTCTTGAAATGGCTGGTGTGGTTTTCATTCAAACCAAGCCAGAGCACAGCAGACTCCAGCATTTTCCTCCAGTGACTCCATCTGCAGCCACAACAGCCATTTCTGGAACCAGTGTGACACCTCTAAACTATCTGGTCTCTGGTCTCTCTCTGGTCCGTCTGGTCTCGTACTGGTCTCGCTCTGAGCTCTCTCACTGGACCCTCGGGTCTGGACATCGTCTGGTCTCTGGCTGACCTCATATGGCTCCAGTCCATATCTGGATCTGGACTTAAGTGGATTTCCAGAGTTCTTGGATATGTCATCAATTAAACCATTTGATCAGAATACACACCAGAAAAACAAGGAAGAGCAGGTGACTATAGCGAGAGACCAGAGAGAGACCAGAGAGAGAGACCAGAGAGAGACCAGAGAGAGAGACCAGAGAGAGACCAGAGAGAGACCAGAGAGAGAGACCAGAGAGAGACCAGAGAGAGAGAGACCAGAGAGAGAGGCCAGAGAAAGAGAGACCAGAGAGAGAGACCAGAGAGAGACCAGAGAGAGAGGCCAGAGAGAGAGAGACCAGAGAGAGACCAGAGAGAGAGAGACCAGAGAGAGAGGCCAGAGAGAGACCAGAGAGAGAGACCAGAGAGAGAGACCAGAGAGAGAGGCCAGAGAGAGAGGCCAGAGAGACCAGAGAGAGAGAGAGAGAGAGCAGAGAGAGAGAGACAAAAGAGAGACCAGAGAGAGAAAGACCAGAAAGAGAGGTCAGGGAGAGACCAGAGAGAGACCAGAGAGAGAGACCAGAGAGAGAGGCCAGAGAGAGACCAGAGAGAGAGAGAGAGACAAAAGAGAGACCAGAGAGAGAAAGACCAGAAAGAGAGGTCAGGGAGAGACCAGAGAGAGACCAGAGAGAGAGACCAGAGAGAGAGACCAGAGAGAGAGACCAGAGAGAGAGACCAGAGAGAGAGGCCAGAGAGAGACCAGAGAGAGAGAGAGAGAGAGACAAAAGAGAGACCAGAGAGAGAAAGACCAGAAAGAGAGGTCAGGGAGAGACCAGAGAGAGAGAGAGATCAGAGAGAGATAGAGGCCAGAGAGAGAGAGGCCATGAGAGAGAGACCAGAGAGAGAGACCAGAGAAAGAGAGAGACCATAGAGAGACCAGAGAGAGAGAGAGATCAGAGAGAGATAGAGGCCAGAGAGAGAGAGGCCATGAGAGAGAGACCAGAGAGAGAGACCAGAGAAAGAGAAAGACCATAGAGAGACCAGAGAGAGAGAGAGAGACAGAGAGACCAGAGAGAGAGGCCGGAGAGAGAGAAACCACAGAAAAACCTCATGCCTTTGGACCGCGATCCTCCCGCGGACCGCAGTTTGGACACCCGCCTGACGTAAACAATCGGCACGTGCGGCAGGTGCGACAGGTGCGCGTGCATGTTCTGTGCGCGCTCCCGTTCTCATAGATCCATGGCTGTAATCCTCTTACGGACAAGAACACATTCGTCCACCCGCCAGTGCTCTACCGAGGCCGGCGTGACGAGCTAATCCACCCGGCCCAAGCTGCCCCATCTCCCGCTACTGACTCCCACAAGAGCCGGGCCTGAGGAACCAAGCGACACCACGGAACATCCAGGTACAAGTTTATTATTGTTATTATTATTATTAACCAGCGAATTCTGAGTCTCTTCTGAGGGGGATGTGATGGAGTCGGAGATTATGAGAGAGAAGATAATTAGACTTATCAGGAAAGAAAGTGTTTTTACCGTTTTACAAAGAAATCAGTGTTTGGACCAGAGGTAATATTGTCTTCAACTGGCCAGAGAGAGACCAGAGAGAAACAAGAGAGAGACACGAGAGAGACCAGAGAGAGACAAGAGAGAGAGACCAGAGAGAGACCAGAGAGAGAGCAGAGAGAGACCAGAGAGAGACAAGAGAGAGACCAGGGAGAGACAAGAGAGAGAGACCAGAGAGAGAGCAGAGAGAGACCAGAGAGGTGTCTCTCTCTCTGGTCTCTCTACTTTTGTTTTAAAGTCAGAAAACTTCTCTGAGTATGATGTCATAGTTATACAATGACATCATACTGTTACAGGATGGAGACAGGAGCTTTCAGACAGAATGCCAATATCAATGTCAGCTTTATTTATATAGCACGTTTACAACAACACCAGCCGCTCAAAGAGCTGCAGGCACAAAAGAATGAAAAGAAACTAAAACAGAAGGAAATACCCACAAATATAAGTAAAACAGTAAAACTTAGTTGGTATAAAATCTCTAACTTTAGCAGTTACAAGTATACAATTTCTAGCTTTAGCATAATAAAGAAGCAAGAATGAAGTATAAGTTTATAACTTTGTGCCTTAAGTTGGGGATGATATCATGGATGGGTCTAAAAACGACTGCAGGTTGACTGTGTGTGTGTCTCAGTCTCAGTGTGTGTTGGTGTCCTCGGGGGACATGGACGAGCTGCTGTTGGCGAGTGCGGAGGAGGATTCGCGGTCGGCGGACAGCGTGCCGTTCGGGCCAGAGCCTGTTGCAGGGCCTCGCGGCTTCGGGGTGAAGAGGTTACCATGGCGACCGGGAGCGCGGGAGCTACGGAAGATACGTGACTTCTTCAAACGCAACGGGCTCCTCACGCTGTCGGTGATCGCCGTCATCACAGGCTGCACTCTGGGCTTCGTGCTGCGAGGAACTCAGCTGTCCACACAGGTACGGACACACACACAGATACACACATACATACACACATACATACATATACACACACAAACTACACACACCCACACACATACACATATACACATACATGTACATGTACCACGTACACACATAGAATTATGCACAGTTATACAAACACACATACATATACACACATAAACATACACACACATACACATGTATTCACACGTATACACACATAAACATACACAAACACACACACGTATACACATATACATATACACACATATACATCAGCAGGGACCGGTCCTGGCTCAAAAACTTCGAGAACGTCTGTTGAGCTGCAATCTCACTCCTTGCCGGTGGGGGTGTACCCGGAAAGAGAATTACTCAATGGAAAACATGTTTACAGGATGGTCCAAAAGTGGCTCTTGGCCCAAAGCTACGTATAGGAGGAGTATATTCTTGACAACTCTAGTTTAGCCGCTGTGGACTTTAGAAGGCACTCATCATTGAATGGGGCTAGTGCAGCTGACACATGCGCAAATGCCTTTTTTCACATTTTCCTGCCCAAAGAAGGCAAAAGTGATGGCACATGAGTTTCAACTGTGGAGATAGGCGTGACTACGTCCGTTATTATTTACAGCCTATGGTTTACACATGTACTGTATATATATATATATATATATATATATATATATATATATACTGTATACACACACACACACACATGTATATATATATATATATATATACATACATATATATACACACACACACACACACATATAAACACACGTACATACACGCACACATATGCGTGTACATACACAGATATACACACACTGAAATACACACATATACACACACACAGACTCAAACACATCTTTAGAACAGATTTTTAAAACAGTCCAATCAGCTCGCTCACAAACAGAATGTGTACATAGACCAGCTTTGTTACATTGTGGGGACTTATTATAATTTATTTCTCGCACACAATGTATGTGTTCATGTGAACAGAAACCTGTATTTGACATATATCTACGGTGCTGTTTTTTAGGCTAAGATCTACTTCTCGTTCCCTGGAGAGCTGCTGATGCGGATGCTGAAGATGCTGATCCTGCCCCTCATCACCTCCAGGTCGGTTTCAGCAGAAAAAGGAAACGTTTTCCCAGACCATTATTAGATTTTCAAAGCTGCTGTTGTTATTCTTGTGTCTGAAAGTCCGTTCTCCTGGACAACATCATGCACATGTTTTTGAATATAGACGCCTTCGAGATGCCTTTATGAGAAAGTAATGAGACAGTGGTTGATTCAGAGAGAGACACAGAAAGACCAGGGGAGAGACCAGAGAGAGACCAAAATAAAGAATAGAGAGAGAGACCAGAGAGAAACCAGAGAAAGACCAGAGGAGAGACCAGAGAGAAACCAGAGGAGAGACCAGAGAGAAACCAGGGGAGAGACCAAAAGTGAGACCAAAAGGGGGAAAAACAGAAGAGAGACCAGGGAGAGAGACCAGAGAAAGACCAGAGGAGAGACCAAAATAGAGACTAGAGAGAGACCAGAGAAAAAAACTTGCTTTTGCTCTCGATTCACTCTAATCTGTACGTGTGCATCGTCAGCTCTGATTGGTCAGAACACTACCACCTACTGCACAGGCCGAGAGAACAAGCTGCGGCCGGAATACGTCACTTCCACTAAGAATTCGGCCTATATTTGATCGATAATAGACCATTGATTTGAACGGGCAGACATTACAGACATCTTGGATCACCGGGACTTGGACTCCTCCTGACTCCTTCTCTCTCCTCAGTCTGATGTCGGGTCTGTCTTCCATGGAGTCCAAAGCCTGCTGCCGGATGGGCGTACTCACCGTCACCTACTACCTGTGGACCACGTTCATCGCGGTGGTGGTCGGCATCGCGCTGGTGCTGATCGTGAAGCCGGGCGTGGGAACCGAGATGGAGAGCAACCGCCTCGGAGGAGGACCGGTGATGACGTCTGCGGACGCCCTGCTGGACCTCATCAGGTAACACCATACTCGTTTATAGATGGACAATGCTAACCCACTAGCTTAATGCTAACCTGCCAGCTCATTGCTATCCCTCCAGCTCAATGCTAACCAGCTAGCTTATTGCTAACCCCCAGCTCAATGCTTACCTGCTAGCTCAATGCTATCCCTCCAGCTCAATGCTAACCAGCTAGCTCAATGCTATCCCTCCAGCTCAATGCTAACCAGCTAGCTCAATGCTATCCCTCCATCTCAATGCTAACCAGCTAGCTCAATGTTATCCCTCCACCTCAATGCTAACCAGCTAGCTCAATGCTATCCCTCCAGCTCAATGCTATCCCTCCAGCTCAATGCTAACCAGCTAGCTCAATGCTATCCCTCCAGCTCAATGCTAACCAGCTAGCTCAATGCTATCCCTCCAGCTCAATGCTAACCAGCTAGCTCAATGTTATCCCTCCAGCTCAATGCTACCAGCTAGCTCAATGCTATCCCTCCAGCTCAATGCTAACCAGCTAGCTCAATGCTAACCAGCTAGCTCAATGCTATCCCTCCAGCTCAATGCTATCCCTCCAGCTCAATGCTAACCAGCTAGCTCAATGCTAACCAGCTAGCTCAATGTTATCCCTCCAGCTCAATGCTACCAGCTAGCTCAATGCTATCCCTCCAGCTCAATGCTATCCCTCCAGCTCAATGCTAACCAGCTAGCTCAATGCTATCCCTCCAGCTCAATGCTAACCAGCTAGCTCAATGTTATCCCTCCAGCTCAATGCTACCAGCTAGCTCAATGCTATCCCTCCAGCTCAATGCTAACCAGCTAGCTCAATGCTAACCCGCTAGCTCAATGTTTACCCACCAGCTCAATGCTAACCCGCCTTCCCATCACCTCTGACACCTTCCCTGTCCCTGCTGAAGAAAAGCAGCCCCATAACATGATGCTGCCACCCCCATAGGTGACTCTGGGGATGGTGCACTGAGGGGGATGAGCAGCTGTAGTTTTGAGCCAAACATCAATGGTAGTTTTTCTAGTATTTATAGTGTGGTTATTATACAAACGGTGAAGCAGGAACCACAAACCCTCGAGAGGTTTCTACGTCGCTGTGATTATAATAAAGTCTGGGGTTGTTGAGGCTGAGCTGAGAACGAGCAAAAGACTCTGTATGGGATCATCTTCTTCATCATCATCATCATCTCCCATTCACCCAGTACTCCCAGTTCACAGCCCAGTCCTGCTTTGATCCGGCTTTTGTTTTGGCTCTGTCCCGCTTTAATCCCGCTTCAATCCTGCTTCAATCCTGGTTTAGTCCTGGTTTAGTCCTGCGTTAGACCTTCTTTAATCCTTTCTTCAGTCCTGGTTTAGTTTTGGTTCAGACCCGTTTTGGTCCTGCTCCTGTCCTGGTTCACAAGTTCAGTCTTCAGTGATCTCTGTATTAAACATTGAGGTTGTTGATGGTCTAGTTTTGAACCTCTGAGACTGAACAGCGGCGTTTTAGTCCAGGCTCCACACTTTTCTTTTATTGTTTTTTTATTATCTGACCAAAGATCTGGACTTACAGTATGAATTTCAATTTATTTTTAGTCTTCGACAATGTGACAATGGCTTATAATGCGCCTTCAGTCCTGGCCTCCGTCCTGGCCTCCGTCCTGGCCTCCGTCCTGGCCTCCGTCCTGGCCTCCGTCCTGGCCTCCGTCCTGGCCTCCGTCCTGGTCTCCGTCCTGGTCTCAGTCCTGGCCTCAGTCCTGGCCTCAGTCCTGGCCTCAGTCCTGGCCTCAGTCCTGGCCTCAGTCCTGGCCTCAGTCCTGGCCTCAGTCCTGGTCTCTGCTCTCCTGATCCCTTTAGCGCTGTCTCTGACCGCAGGTGTATTTTTAGCTAACCCTTGTGGATAAGTAACAGATTAGCCTTAGCGCAGTTAGCCCAGGCTGCTATGGGCCACAAGCCCCGCCCACACACAGACCACGCCCCTGGCTCAAGCCCCACCCCCTCCCTCTGCTCTCATGTGAGCTTTGTTTACTGCCCACATTTAAAGGGGACATTACACACTCTGACGTGACCTCGTTCACAGTGACTTAGCTTAAAGGGCAGAGCTCAGAGCAATACGGCAGGACTGAATACAGTAGTTTTAGTTGTGCTTCTCCGCATCACATTTCTGGAAAAACTGCGGAAGAAGCTGATTTGAACATAAGCTAGCAGGAGCCAATTGCCTTATATGGGCCCAGAACAGAGTCAGGCGTGTTGCTAACTCAAACTGGAGTTACTTCCGCAAATGAAAGCATCTGATTGGTCAATACTTATACGGCTCAATGTTTTATTTACAAAGACAATCTCACAAAGTCAACACCGGAATCAGAGAGCACTAAACCAGTTTTATAATTCCAAAATGGTGAGACAAACAGTAACTGAGCAAGAGGAGTTTACTTTTACATGTGAGTCAAAAGGAGCCAGAGAGAGATTATTGGACTTCATTGAGCTAGCGGGTTAGCCTTGTCCAGCATCTACATCTATATACAGGCTATAGCTAATACACAGTGTACCAGCATAATAAACAATGACATTCAAATTCAGTAATGACAGATGCACTGACACACTTGCAGTACCACCCCGGGCCAGTGGGGGTGGACTCAGAAAGAGAATTATCCAATGTTTTTGTATGGCGTCTTCTTTCATCTCTTGGCCGGCTCTTGGCCCACGCTACGTTCCAGATGTGTGTAAACGCTGAGGGGGGTACATTTTTTTGGACCACTCTTGTTTAGCCGCTATGGACTTCAGAACGCACTTGTTAAATGAATGGGGCATGCGCAAATGCGTTTTTTTTCCCTTTTTCCTGTGGGAGCGGCTGCCCGTGGCCATTTTGAAAAAGCTCAATAGAAGCCAAAAGTGGTGGCACATTAGTTTCAACGGCGGAGTTATGGGCGTGACTACGTTCGTTAATATTTACATTTATCAACATTAACATTTAGTCTATGGTGGAGTCTCACTGTTGCATTAACTGCTGTTTTCTTCTCCCACAGAAACATGGTTCCTTCAAACCTGGTGGAGGCAACGTTTCAGCAGGTAAACAGCATTTTGAGACGAATACAATTGCAATAGTTTTGTTTATACGTGTCCAGAACAACACACTGAACCTCCCAAGAAGTCCTGTATTTGGATGCATTTGGAGACACACATACAGAGACAGAGACACACATACAGAGACACACATACAGAGACACACATACAGAGACAGAGACACACATACAGAGACAGAGACACACATACAGAGACAGAGACACACATACAGAGACAGAGACACACATACAGAGACAGAGACACACATACAGAGACACACATACAGAGACACACATACAGAGACAGAGACACACATACAGAGACACACATACTGAGACAGAGACACACATACAGAGATACACATGCAGAGATACACATACAGAGACACACATACAGAGACACACATACAGAGACAGAGACACACATACAGAGACAGAGACACACATACAGAGACAGAGACACACATACAGAGACAGAGACACACATACAGAGACACACATACAGAGATACACATACAGAGACACACATACTGAGACAGAGACACACATACAGAGATACACATACAGAGACAGAGACACACATACAGAGACACACATACTGAGACAGAGACACACATACAGAGATACACATACAGAGATACACATACAGAGATACACATACTGAGACAGAGACACACATACAGAGATACACATACAGAGATACACATACAGAGACACACATACAGAGACACACATACAGAGACACACATACTGAGACAGAGACACACATACAGAGATACACATACAGAGATGCACATACAGAGATACACATACAGAGACGCACATGCAGAGACACACATACAGAGACAGAGACACACATACAGAGACAGAGACACACATACAGAGACAGAGACACACATACAGAGACAGAGACACACATACAGAGACAGAGACACACATACACAGACAGAGACACACATACAGAGACAGAGACACACATACAGAGATACACATACAGAGACACACATACTGAGACAGAGACACACATACAGAGACACACATACTGAGACAGAGACACACATACAGAGACACACATACAGAGATACACATACAGAGACACACATACTGAGACAGAGACACACATACAGAGACACACATACTGAGACAGAGACACACATACAGAGATACACATACAGAGACACACATACAGAGACACACACACAGAGACACACAGACAGAGACACACATACAGAGACAGAGACACACGCACACAAAGAGATACACACACACACACACATATGGTAAGAATTACACACTTATCTTCTATGAAAGTATAAAGTGAGCTTTAAAGCTGCACTAACGGACTTTATTTTCGTATTCATTAGTTGAAGTCTATCCATGTCCATGTAGGGCATTGGGATATTCGTCCTTTTGAAGAAAAGGTAGCACAGATTTGTGCTGGCGTGAAATTATATTTTAGATCGAGTTTGATGAAACAAGGAAGAGAATGTGTTTCGGGTCGCAGATTGTGACCAATCACAGCGGACCACTGGCCCCCACTTTCGTAAGAAATCTACAGGTCCGTTAGCACAGACGGCTGAGTTAGCACAACAAGCGGCGGAGCTAACCTGAAGCTTCGTGTCTCTTCGTCACCGGTTACTGCTTACACAGCGACACAGCCATCCAAAAGAAAGTCTCGTTCCTCCGGTTCTATCGTTCTATGGTCACGCCATCCACGTGCAAATCCATATCCATGTATTATCCATATTGGGAGACGCTAGCTCCGTCAACAACAGTGGGTGTGTGTGTGGGGCGATAGCTTTGTGGGTGTGAGGAGGGGAGCAGAAAGAGAGAGTCAGTTAGTGCAGCTTTAACCGGTCTCTGTCTGACCCAACAGTACAAGACGGACCTGCTGCCCATCCTCAAAGTGCCCACTCGGACGGTGCAGCCCAGCTTTGTGTATGTGATCCCAGGAGAGGGCGCCCCTAGTGGCAGAACAGTGTACCTGGAGCTGACCCCGCCCCCAGAGGTGCACTACAAGACCAGCCCCGGCACCAGCCAGCAGATGAACGTGCTCGGGATCGTCATCTTCTCTGCCACCATGGGTACACACACACACACATATACACACACACACACACACACACATACAGACACACATACAGACAGAGACACACACACACAGATACATACACACAGACGCACACACACGGAAATATACATACATACACACACAGACTCACATACTGACACAGACACAGATATACACACACACAAACATATACACACACACAGACGCACACACAGACACAAACTGACTCAGACACATAGAAACATGAAAACACACACAGATACACACACTCACACGTATGGACATGGATATTAGACACACACACACAAAAACACACACACATTCACCCAAGCACACAGAGACACACACATACACTCAAACACAGACAGAGACACACACAGACAGACACACACACACACACACAGATACACACACATAAATAGGCGCGCACACAAACACACACTGACTCAGACACATACAAACGTGCATACACACACAGATATACACACGCATGGATACTAGTTAGACACACACAAAAACATACATATTCACCCAAGCACACAGAGACACAATATGAGACACACACACACACACACAAAAACACACACATTCAACCAAGCACACAGAGACACACACACACACACACACACACACAAAAACACACACATTCACCCAAGCACACAGAGACACAATATGAGACACACACACACACACACAAAAACACACACATTCAACCAAGCACACAGAGACACACAAAAACACACACATTCACCCAAGCACACAGAGACACAATAAGAGACACACACGCACACAAAAACACACACAAATAGAGACACATATACTCAAACACAGACAGAGACACACACAGACAGACACACACGCACACACACACACACAGACAGACAGATACAGACAGAGACACACACACAGAAAGAGACACACAAACACACGTACACACAGAGACAAACACACACGCACACACACACATACAGACAGACACACACACACAGACACACACACACACACACCCACACACAGAGACACACACACATACAGACAGAGACACACAAACACACGTACACACAAAGACAAACACACACAGACAGACACACACACGCACGCAGAGACACACACACATACAGACACACACACGCGCATAGACACACACACAGACAGACAGACAGATACAGGCAGAGACACACACGCAGACAGAGACACACACGTACACACACACAGACAGACACACACACGCACATAGACACACACACACGCACATAGACAGACAGACAGATACAGACAGTGACACACACACAGACAGAGACACACAAACACACGTACACACACACAGACAGACACACACACGCACATAGACACACACACACACAGAGACACACACACATACAGACAGACGCACATAGACACACACACACACACAGAGACACACACACACATACAGACAGACACACACACACACACACAGAGACACACACACATACAGACAGACACACACACGCACATAGACACACACACACAGAGACACACACGCACATAAACACACACACACACAGAGACACACACACATACAGACAGACACACACACGCACATAGACACACACACACAGAGACACACACACATACAGACAGACACACATAGACACACACACACACACAGAGAGACACACACACGCACATAGACACACACACACACACACAGAAACACACACACATACAGACAGACACACACACACACAGAGACACACACACATACAGACAGACACACAAAGACACACACACACACACAGACACACACACACACACACACACACACACACACACAGAGACACACACACATACAGACAGACACACACACACACACACACACACACACACACAGACAGACACACAGACACACACACACACACACACACAGACACACACACACACACACACACACACACAGACACACACACACACACACACACACACAGACACACACACACACACACACACACACAGACAGACAGACACACACACACACACACACACACACACACACACACACACACACACACACACAGACAGACACACACACACACAGAGACACACACGCACACAGACACACACACACACACAGACACACACACACACAGACAGACACACACACACACACACAGACAGACACACACACAGACAGAGACACACACACACACAGAGACACACACACACACACAGACACACACACACACACACAGACAGACACACACACAGACAGAGACACACACGCACATAGACACACACTCGGACGCTGAGCCCTTTCCTCTCGTGGGTCAGCATCGTCCATCCACACAGTCTCTGCTGATGACCCATGTTTGTGGCCTGTGTTGGATACTGCTGAGACAACAGTGGGAAATGTAGCCGTGTTGTTTGGACCCGTGTCGGCTTAAGACATCTGGGAAGACAGGAACATGTCAAAATAAAACAATATCCCACTGTCAAAATAAGTCTGAATAGGCAAGACACTTCCCCCACATTAGAATGAGTCTGGTGTGTGTGTGAATGGTTGGTGGTGGTGGGAGGGGCCAATGGCACAGACTGGTTGCCTCGCCTCTGTCAGTGTGCCCCAGGGCAGCTGTGGCTACTGTAAGAGTTTATCACCACCGTGTATGGAGTGAATGAATAATGACATGTGAAGAGACTGAGTGTCCAGAAAAGCGCTGTATAGAAACCAATGCATTATTTGTATTGTTATTATTATTATTATTGTTATTATTATTATTATTATCTAATGTAGTCATAGTGTGTGTTGCTGGTCCCTGGTCCCTGGCTCTCCCCGTGACCTCCCCCTGACGTCAGCAGGAGCCGTGTAAGGCCTTGGCCCCTGCAGCACAGCCTCCTGCGTCTGCCTGAACTGGGACAGGAAGGCTCCAGGAATAGTTGTAAAGCCGGAGATTTGTAGAAAGAGTTTTGTCACCAGTGAATGAACTCTGATGGTTTTAATGAACTCTGATGGTTTTAATGAACTCTGATGGTTTTAATGAACTCTGATGGTTTTAATGAACTCTGATGGTTTTAATGAACTCTGATGGTTTTAATGAACTCTGATGGTTTTAATGAACTCTGATGGTTTTAATGAACTCTGATGGTTTTAATGAACTCTGATGGTTTTAATGAACTCTGATGGTTTTATTGAACTCTGATGTTTTATTGAACTCTGATGGTTTTATTGAACTCTGATGGTTTTATTGAACTCTGATGGTTTTAATGAAGCCTGTGAAGATAAAGGTGAAAACATAGTTTCTCCCTCTGTCACTTCTTTACCTAAATCTGGTCTCTCTCTGGTCTCTCTCTGGTCTCTCTGTCTGGTTTCTAACTGGTCTCTCTCTGGTTTCTCACTGGTCTCTTTCTGGTTTCTCACTGGTCTCTCTCTGGTTTCTCACTGGTCTCTCTCTGTCTGATTTCTCACTGGTCTCTCTCTGGTTTTTCACTGGTCTCTCACTGGTCTCTCTCTGGTTTCTCACTGGTCTCTCTGATCTCTTTCTGGTTTCTCTCTGTGCTCTAGCTGGTCTCTCAGGTCTCTCCCTCTGATCTCTCTGGTATTGCTTGTCTTTGCTCTGCCTCTGCTTCTCTCTCTCTCTCTGTACTCTCTCCCTCTGGTCTCTCTCACTCTCTGCTCTATCTTCTCTCTGGTCTTTCCCTCTGCTCTTCTCTCCCTGGTTTCTCCCTCTTCTCTCTCTCTCTTTCTCTGGTCTCTCCTCCTCTTCTCTCTCTCTCTCTCTGGTCTCTCTCCCTCTTCTCTCTCTGGTCTCCCTCTGCTTGCACTCTCTAGTCTCTCTCTCTGGTCTCCCTCTGGTCTCTCTCACTCTCTGCTTTATCAGCTCTCTCTCTTCTTTTTCTCTGCTATTCTCTCTCTCTCTCTCTGGTCTCTCTCTCTCTCTCTCTGGTCTCTCTCTCTCTGCTCTCTCTCTCTGGTCTCTCTCTGGTCTCTCTCTCTCTCTCTCTGGTCTCTCTCTCTCTCTCTCTGCTCTCTCTCTCTGGTCTCTCTCTGGTCTCTCTCTCTCTCTCTCTGGTCTCTCTCTGGTCTCTCTCTGGTCTCTCTCTCTCTGGTCTCTCTCTCTCTCTGCTCTGTTGCGTTCGTCACCAGAGATTGAACTCTCATGAGGGCTGTGGTCTGTGTGAAGCTAATTGTTCGTGTTCATGTGACATCAGAATGCTCTAAAGATTGATAGTTTCACATTGTGGAGGAGCGCAGCTGAAATCTCTCTCCTAGAGATCGTTTCTCTGTGATTCCTGGAACAATCCACATGAAACAAAATCACAAAGCTCCACATCGGTTATCAGCACATGTCAACTATGGTCTCCTTATTTTCTCTTGCTGGTCCCTAGTCCTTTCTCTAGTCTGGCCTCTCTCTGTGGTCTATCTGGTCACTCTCTTCCTGGTCTCTCTCGCTCTGTTCTCATGGTTTCTTTGGTCTCTCTTTGGTCTCCCAGGACTGCTAATTGACACCTGTAGTCCTCTCTGGTCTCCCTCTAGTCTCTCTCTGGTCTCTGTCTGCTCTTTCAGGTCTGGTCTGTGGTCTTAAACTGATCTTGGTTTCAGGTCTTCTGTTGGGGCGTATGGGAGAGAGAGGAGCCCCGCTGGTGAACGTGTGTCAGTGCATCAACGAGTGCGTCATGAAGATCATCAACGCCGCCGTCTGGTGAGTCTCTGCTCATCACAGAACCACCTCCAACAGGTCTGACCATGTCTGGTCTCTCTGGTCTCTCTCTGCTCTCTCACTGGTCTCTCTCTAGTCTTTGGTTTCTCTCTCATCTCTTTCTGGTCTCTCTCTTTCTATTCTCTCTGGTCTCTTTCTTGTCTCTCTGGTTTCTCTCTGGTCTCTCTAGTCTCTGGTCTCTCTCTGGTCTCCGGTTTCTCTCTTTCTGGTATCTCTAGTTTCTCTTTAGTCTCTCTTGTCTCTCGTTGGTCTCTCTCTAGTCCCTCTCTAGTATTTGGTTTCTCTCTTTCTATTCTTTCTATTCTCTCTAGTCTCTCTGGTCTCTTCTGGTCTCTCTCTGGTCTCCGGTTTCTCTCTTTCTGGTCTCTCTAGTTTCTTTTTAGTCTCTCTGGTCTCTTTCTGGTCTCTCTTGTCTCTAGTTGGTCTCTATCTGGTCTCTCAGGTCTTTCTCTGGTCTCTTTCTGGTCTCTCTCTGGTTTGTCTCTGGTCTCTTTCTGGTCTCTCTAGTCTCTCTTTGGTCTCTCTCTGATCTCACGCTGGTCCCTCTATGGTTTCTGGTCTCTCTGCTCTGGCTGGTCCCTCATGGTCTCTCCTCCAACATGAACATCCCATACATCGTCACACCTGCATATGAAAGCCCGATGCCCAGTCTCAGAAGCTAAGCAGGGCAGGGCCTGGTCGGTGCTGTGATGGGAGACTGCTGACCTCCTGACCGCGTGCTCTGAAACGTGCCGCTGTGACATCACCATCATCCACTCACGGGCTCAGGCCACGCCCCCAGGCCACGCCCCCGGGTCAAGCCCCGCTGCACATGATCTGATTAGGACTAATGAGTGGAGTTACAGAAGAGAAAGAGCTGAGCCTGGATTATCAGACACAAAACATATAAACACGAGACTTCATGATTTGCCCTTGTTTTGAAACTGTTTTAGTCGATCGATTTGTTTACTGTTTTATTTGTTTTATTTTTGTCTTTTAATGTTGTTTTATGTCTGTATTTGTCTGTGCACACTGGAGACTTTTGCTAATGTATTCCTATGTGGTGTTTTTACTGCAAATGGCAAATAAACTGAATCTGAATCTGAATCAAGCATCGATCGATCTACGGTTATTATTTTAACCAGCACCTTCTCTGGCTCCAAATCTGTTTGGTTCTTTCACAAGTTTTCACAAACATGAATTTTTTACCTCTGTCACATCGTTGTTCAGTTCTCCCTGTTCTCTCTGGTTTCTATTTAATGTCTGTCTCTCTGGTCTCTCTTTGGTCTCTCTCTGGTCTCTCTCTGGTCTCTCTCTGGTCTGGCTCTGGTCTCTCTCTGGTCTCTCTCTGGTCTCTCTCTGGTCTCTCTTTGGTCTCTCTTTGGTCTCTCTCTGGTCTCTCTCTGGTCTCTCTCTGGTCTGGCTCTGGTCTCTCTCTGGTCTCTCTCTGGTCTCTCTCTGGTCTCTCTTTGGTCTCTCTCTGGTCTCTCTCTCTGGTCTCTCTCTGGTCTTTCTCTGGTCTCTCTCTGGTCTGGCTCTGGTCTCTCTCTGGTCTGTCTCTGGTCTCTCTGGTCTCTCTCTGGTCTCTCTCTGATCTCTCTCTGGTCTCTCTCTGGTCTCTCTCTGGTCTCTCTCTGGTCTCTCTCTGGTCTCTCTCTGATCTCTCTCTGGTCTCCCTCTGGTCTCTCTCTGTGGTCTCTCTCTGGTCTCCCTCTGGTCTCCCTCTGGTCTCTCTCTGGTCTCCCTCTGGTCTCCCTCTGGTCTCTGTGGTCTCTCTGTGGTCTCTCTGTGGTCTCTCTGTGGTCTCTCTCTGGTCTCTCTCTGGGCTCTCTCTGCATGACGGTTCCTAAACTGCGGTCCTCTCCCTGCAGGTACTTCCCGTTCGGCATCATCTTCCTGGTGGCGGGGAAGATCCTGGACATGGCCGACCCGAGCACGCTGGGGAAGAAGCTGGGCTGGTACGGCATCACGGTGCTCGCTGGTCTCTTCGTTCATGGTCTCATCCTGCTCCCGCTCTTCTACTTCATCCTCACTCACAAAAACCCCTTCAAGTACATCCGAGGTCTGCTGCAGGCCATGGTGATCGCCCTGGCAACCTCCTCCAGGTACCAGCACTGACCCTGACCAGGAGGATGAGAAGAGAGCTCTCTCTGTAACTTCCTCTCTCATCTCTCTGCTCTCTCTCTGGTCTCTCTCTGATTTCTTTCTCTCTGCTCTCTCTCTCTGTGGTCTCTCTCTGTGGTCTCTCTCTGGTACAGTGCCTTGCGAAAGTATTCGGCCCCCTTGAACCTTTCGCCACATTTCAGTCTTCAAACATAAAGATATAAAATTTTAATTTTTTGTCATGAATCAACAACAAGTGGGACACAATCGTGAAGTGGAACGAAATGTATTGGATAATTTAAACTTTTTTAACAAATAAAAAACTGAATAGTGAGGCGTGCAATATTATTCGGCCCCTTTACTTTCAGTGCAGCAAACTCACTCCAGAAGTTCAGTGAGGATCTTTGAATGATCCAATGTTGTCCTAAATGACTGATGATGATAAATAGAATGCACCTGTGTGTAATCAAGTCTCCGTATAAATGCACCTGCTCTTTGATAGTCTCAGGGTTCTGATTAAAGCGCAGAGAGAACCATGAAGACAAAGAAACACACCAGGCAGGTCCGAGATACTGTTGTGGAGAAGTTTAAAGCCGGATTTGGATACAAAAAGATTTCCCAAGCTTTAAACATCTCAAGGAGCACTGTGCAAGCAATTATATTGAAATGGAAGGAATATCAGACCACTGCAAATCTACCAAGACCCGGCCGTCCCTCCAAACTTTCATCTCAAACAAGGAGAAGACTGATCAGAGATGCAGCCAAGAGGCCCATGATCACTCTGGATGAACTGCAGATTACTATCTTTATGTTTGAAGCCTGAAATATGGCGAAATGTTGAAAGGTTCAAGGGGGCCGAATACTTTTGCAAGGTACTGTATCTCTCATTTGTTTCTCTCTGATCTCCCACTGGTCTCTCTCTCTCTCTCTCTGGTCTCTCTCTCTCTCTCTGGTCTCTCTCGCTCTCTCTGGTCTCTCTCGCTCTCTCTGGTCTCTCTCTCTGCTCTCTCTCTCTGGTCTCTCGCTCTCTCTCTCCTCTCTCTCTCTCTGCTCTCTCTCTCTGGTCTCTCTCTCTCTCTGTAACCTCTCCTCTGTGCTCCTCAGCTCGGCCACTCTCCCCATCACGATGAAGTGTCTCCTGGAGAACTGTCACGTGGACCGGCAGATCGCTCGCTTCGTGCTCCCGGTCGGCGCCACCATCAACATGGACGGCACAGCGCTGTACGAGGCGGTGGCGGCCATCTTTATCGCTCAGGTCAACGACTACGAGCTGGACTTCGGCCAACTGGTCACCATCAGGTACCAGACCGGTCTCAGCGCAAGACCATAGAGCCAAATGTTTGCTAATCCATCAGTGGCAACCAGGAGCCAATCAGGAGCCAATCAGGAGCCAATCAGGAGCAGCCTCAGGGATAGAAAGAACCTGATTGGTCGATTGTTAGGGCCCAGATCTGGATTTACAAAGACTATATCAATATCTAAAAAGCAGGATCAAAGAGAGCGCTACACCATGGATTTCTTTTACGAGTAAAATAGTCAGAGAAAGACCAGAAGAGAGACTAGAGAGAGAGACCTGAGAAAGAGACCAGAAAGAAACCCGAGAGAGACTAGAAAGAGAGAGAGTGTGACCCGAGAGATCAGGGATAGACCAAAGACCAGAGGGGGAGTAGAGACCAGAGATAGACCAGAAAGAGAGACCAATGAAAGTAACCAGAGAGAGACGAGAGAGAGAGACGAGACCAGAGAGAGAGACCAGAGAGAGAGACTAGAGAGAGAGACTAGAGAGAGAGACTAGAGAGAGAGACTAGAGAGAGAGACTAGAGAGAGAGACTAGAGAGAGAGACTAGAGAGAGAGACTAGAGAGAGAGACTAGAGAGAGAGACTAGAGAGAGAGACTAGAGAGAGAGACTAGAGAGAGAGACTAGAGAGAGAGACCAGAAAGAGAGACCAAAGGGCAAGACGAGACCAGAGAGAGACGAGACCATAGAAAGAGACCAGAAAGAAAGACTTGAGAGCGAGCAGAGAGAGACCAGAGAGAAACCAGAAAGACCAGAGAGAGAGGCCACAGGGAATCTAGGGAATCTATGTCATGTAATTTGGAGAAATACAGACACTTTTCAACATACTTTTTCACGAGGACAACAGCCCACACTCTGACGGTGAGAGCTTCATTCACCTGAACACGGCTCCACGGCTCGTTCGGCTGTCATTATGCAGAGTATCATCCACACTTTGGCGCCTCCTGACGTTCATCAGTATCTGTTTGATCTCTGCAGCATCACGGCGACGGCGGCGAGCATCGGAGCCGCCGGGATCCCGCAGGCCGGACTGGTTACCATGGTGATCGTCCTCACATCGGTCGGACTTCCCCCTGATGACATCACTCTGATCGTGGCCATCGACTGGATCCTGTGAGTTCATGGTTTTAAACAGAGCGACCCTCAAAGCACAGCTGTGGTCTGAAAACATCCAAAAGGAGCTTCTCGTTCAAGGCCACTGCAGTCTGGTCTGGTCTCTCTCTGATCTCTCTCTGGTCTCTCTCTCTGGTTTCTCCCTCTGGTCCCTTCCTCAGGGTCTCGGTGTTCTTATGTTCTCATGCTGTATATGTGTGTGTTTCAGGGATCGTTTCAGGACCATGATAAACGTCCTCGGTGACGCTCTCGCCGCAGGGATCATAGCTCATCTCTGCAAGAAGGACTTTCCCCGCGAAGAAAATGGAAAGGTACATGTGCACGCACACGCACACACACAAACATACACTCTTATATTTTTTTATCTGTGTTTTGGGAGACAGATTCACAAATAGACACTTATGGTCATAATAGTGGTGTCTCTAGTCCCTCCTTGTCTGATCTCTGGTTGCTGGTCTCTCTGGTTGCTGGTCTCTGGTCTAACCCTCTGGTTGTTGGTGTTTTCAGGGAGTCCCTTCGTACGGCTCGACTGACGCTCACTGTGGCAGTGTGAACGTCCCCATGACAGAACTACACACACACAAAGACTGTTTGTACGAAGACTCAGTCAGTGAGAGACACACGGTCTACTACAACATCTGCCAAGTCTGAACCGGGTCTGGACCAGGTCAGGACCGGGTGCTAAGCGTCTCTGTCCTTCAGTGCCTTTTCTCATGAGCGATTTACAAACCTCTCCTTTACCGCCCCCTCCTCCAGCTGAGATCTGTCCATCACTGCAGCCTCTCATCTGTGCGCATTAGGACTAAACACGTCTGTGTTTGTGGAGAAACGGACCCTTCCCGCTGCACCTGGAGATGATCCTGCTGCGTTCAAATGTGAATATTGAAGTAATACAAACTTGAACAGACAAAGGCCTGTAAAAGGCCTGTGATGTTCTGCTTGCGGGGCATGCGGGCGTGCGCTCTAACCGGCTTCAGTTGAAGTCTTTTTTCATATACTTTGTTTTTTATCTTGTTGAATGTACTTTCTAATGTGTATTTTCTCATGTGTACTTTCTGGTGTGTACTGTAGTTTAAAGGAGCGGGTTTTAAGGTTATACCTCATCATGGTTCCTCCATCAGGCCGTAACCGGAGGCGCAGGCAGCTGCTCAGTCTCACTTTGAGACATTATAAACATTAAATTGGAAATGATCAATGTGACATCATTTTAGAAGCAAAACAAGTCTCCTGAAAGACCTCAGCACTGCGCCCCCTGGTGGTGTGTGGTGGGAGAGGACCTGCCTTATCTCATGTCAGACCTCTGTTCAGTCTCTGCCAATGACGTCATCTGTACTTTTATATCTGCGTCTTTACAATGCATTAAAAATTATTCAACCAAAATGTTTTGTGTGGTCCACTGCCCAGAAATGTTAATACATGTGCAAACTGAGGCCCTTATGGAGGACTGGAGGCGGAGCAAATGTGTCTGACATTATCCCAGTACTGAAGAAATGCTAGTTTAGACCTGTGTGTATCTCATGTCTGCTTCATACGAGGCTAACACGACAGATCCACACCAGAGACTCAGAAACGAGATTTATTTTTCATAAAAAAAGGACAAAATTAAAAAAACATTCCCTCTCATGATCAGTCTGAACTCTGCATTCCTGTGGCACTCCATGGGTTCCCCAGGTGTGTGTCTCTGAAGGTGTTGTCTGCCTCAGTGTGTCTCTGTGTGTGTGTTAGAAGGTGTTGCGTGCCTCTGTTGGCCTCTGCTGCTGAGCCAGTTTGCCGTATCCTCCTCGTGCCGGATCATAGTCCTGTCGATACTCGTCTCTGACCTGAAAACATGAACACAGCTTTATCAACACTGCAGAAACAACCAAACTGTTCATTAAAGCATCAATGCATCACCCCTCCCCCGGTCTCTCACCCCTCCCCCGGTCTCTCACCCCTCCCCCGGTCTCTCACCCCTCCCCCGGTCTCTCACCCCTCCCCTGGTCTCTCACCCCTCCCCTGGTCTCTCACCCCTCCCCCGGTCTCTCACCCCTCCCCCGGTCTCTCACCCCTCCCCCGGTCTCTCACCCCTCCCCCGGTCTCTCACCCCTCCCCCGGTCTCTCACCCCTCCCCCGGTCTCTCACCCCTCCCCCGGTCTCTCACCTGTCCTCCAGACTTGCCGCGCCCGTACTGCCTCCCCTCCTTGAAGCCGGCGTCCCAGTCCGTGCGGATGATGCGATCGTCAAGCCGTGTCCCGTTCACAAAGCGCATGGCGTTCTCCGCGTCGTTGCGGTTGTAGTATCTGGGCCGCGGTGAAGGAGCAGAACCAGAACCAGTACCAGAAGAAGAACCAGAGGCAGGTATTGTAGTTTAAAACTTATGTACCCCAGCTTTAAGAGAGCTTTAAGTCTGAAGATTTGTCAGGTGAGGGAGGAGAGTGGTATTTGAGGAAAAGGATACTCCACAAAGCAGAAGCCGCAGGCCGTCTTCTTGATCTTGTCCAGGCCGATGATGATGCGCTTCACGTCTCCACATTTACCAAAGAGTTCATGGACCTGCAGAGAAGCTGTCGTTACACAGACAAAAAAACACTAGTAGCTGTGTGTTTTAAGGAAGTAAAAGCTTCATACACACTTTATACACTTTTCTAACCACCTGAACTCAGTGCTGTCGCGGAGATAACAAACCAGGACCAGGACTCGGGCTACGGGAAGACGGAGGAAGTACTTTAAACTAATCGCCGCGGTGCAAAGACCAGAGGTGAGAGTGAGACCAGAGAGAGACCCCTCAACTAATCACTGCGGTGAACAGTAGTGATGTGCTGAGCGTGCCGGGTCTTCGAAGCGTGTACCGAGTAAAAAAGGGGCGTATTTTTTGAAGCGTGGTTCGAGGCGTGTGTTGGTGACGTATGTGGTGACGTTCGAAGCCTCGCGTAGCGGCCGCACCACGTGACGGTTCATATAGTGCTTCATATAGTTCGGAGAGTGCATTGCTTTGACAGGTGCTTTGTGATCCGCGGCTGTCCCCGTCTGCCTCTGTGTGCGTACGTGTGTGTGCTTGATGTGGAGCAGTCCTGTACTAAGTATAGAGAAACAACTTCATATGAAATACAATTAAAAAAGTTTCACTTTAGTAAAACCTCATATATCAAGGCTTCAAGTTATTAGTAATAATACGCTGGATAATACATTTCACAACAGCTGTGTGGCGCAGTCGGTCTATGACGGACTCCGAAGCAGAAGATATAGCGTTCAAATCCTGGTCTACCCATAATACATTTTGTGTTGCAAAGTAAATGTATTTATTTATTGGGAATAAATGGTTTGTTGTGTTTAATTAATCCACCTCTTGGTAGTTTTTCCTCCATTAATCACTTTCTGTAGAACTGTATTACTTTGGATGTGTTTGTTGTATCAACACAATTGACTGAAAGACTCAAATAGTTCATAGTTCATGAAGCATCATTTCAAACACAACACGTTAGACCATAGATTGTAAATATACATTTTAACATTAGATCTCACCATTCATTGTAAGCACTTAAGAGTGTTATGTATTTCTTTGTCCACATGATGGCGTAGTGGAGCATGATTCACACTCATGGGCCGAGTAATAGGCTGCGATCCCTCAAGGCTTCATGGGGCTTCATATTGCCATCACTAGTGAACAGCAGCCACAAAAGTGTTTTTCTAACTTCAAATAAAAGGCAACTGTCATGTTCTACTAGCGGTTATATGATGACGCGAAAGGTGGTTCTAGTGGTTTTACTTCTACAGGACCACAGTAACACGTGAACGTTTTGACCAATTGGAGCTGATCAGAGCGGAGATTGAGCGAGCAGTTGGATTCAAAAGTTTTTGATGACAAGGGACACCAAAATCTGACCTTCGTGAAAGCTGGTCCCTCTCTCTGGTCCGTCTCCCTCTCCTCTCTGGTCCGTCTCCCTCTCCTCTCTGGTCCGTTCTCCCTCTCCTCTCTGGTCCGTTCTCCCTCTCCTCTCTGGTCCGTTCTCCCTCTCCTCTCTGGTCCGTTCTCCCTCTCCTCTCTGGTCCGTCTCCCTCTCCCTCTCCTCTCTGGTCCGTTCTCCCTCTCCTCTCTGGTCCGTTCTCCCTCTCCTCTCTGGTCCGTTCTCCCTCTCCCTCTCCGTTCTCCCTCTCCTCTCTGGTCCGTCTCTCTATTGTCCGTCTCTCTCCCTCACCCTCACTGAGGTTACAGGGGACAGCGCCCCCTGGAGGCTCACCTGCTCCTCGGTGGTGTAGAAGGACAGGTTTCCCACATACAGCGTGTTGCTTTGCTTCAGTAGCTTCTCCTGTTCGTAGCGGTTTCCCTGCAGAGTCACACGGCGTGCGGGTTAAAAGGAGTTCGTGTGGAGCTGTATACATCCCACTACAGCGTAACATCCCAAAGATTCAACAAAACTCACTTGAAATAGGGGTAATGTTAGACCTGTCACGATAACGACGATAATGTCAATGGCCGCTTATGTTACTGATGCTAGAACAATAACACAGAATAACCCCAGTAAAGCAATAATCTTATCAGTCAACTTCATTCAAAAGAAAATTAATGGCAAAAACCTAATGTTGTTTATTGCACTCATTAACCCTGAAGCTACAAAGATCGTTAGTGTTGTGTATGTATGCTATGTTATTTATTTAGACCATATTTTGTATTTCACGTCCGTTATCTGCTATTTCACAATTATATTTACTGCACCCCTGAAGTATAAAGTTTGTTAGCGCGCTAGAATCTGCAGTGTTTTAAGCGTGTTAGCATCTGCGGTGTTGTTAGCCTGTTAGCATCTGCGGTGTTGTTAGCCTGTTAGCATCTGCGGTGTTGTTAGCCTGTTAGCATCTGCGGTGTTGTTAGCCCGTTAGCATCTGCGGTGTTGTTAGCCTGTTAGCATCTGCGGTGTTGTTAGCCTGTTAGCATCTGCGGTGTTGTTAGCCTGTTAGCATCTGCGGTGTTGTTAGCCTGTTAGCATCTGCGGTGTTGTTAGCCCGTTAGCATCTGCGGTGTTGTTAGCCTGTTAGCATCTGCGGTGTTGTTAGCCTGTTAGCATCTGTGGTGTTGTTAGCCCGTTAGCATCTGTGGTGTTGTTAGCCTGTTAGCATCTGTGGTGTTGTTAGCCCGTTAGCATCTGCGGTGTTGTTAGCCTGTTAGCATCTGTGGTGTTGTTAGCCCGTTAGCATCTGCGGTGTTGTTAGCCTGTTAGCATCTGCGGTGTTGTTAGCCTGTTAGCATCTGCGGTGTTGTTAGCCTGTTAGCATCTGTGGTGTTGTTAGCCTGTTAGCATCTGTGGTGTTGTTAGCCCGTTAGCATCTGCGGTGTTGTTAGCCTGTTAGCATCTGTGGTGTTGTTAGCCTGTTAGCATCTGTGGTGTTGTTAGCCTGTTAGCATCTGTGGTGTTGTTAGCCCGTTAGCATCTGTGGTGCTCTCAGGCCTCTCTCCGCGGGTGGGGAACCTTAAAGTGCTGGTCCCGGTACTGGCTGATGTCGATGTAGGAGTCACTTGTGAGAGCGTTGAGTTTCGCTGCCATCGCTTTGCTTTTCTCTGAGGCACCGGACAGATCCATCGAAAGGCCGTGGTGCGCCCCGAACAACCGTCCGGAGGAAACAAGCGCGGTCTTCTTCTTCTTCTTGTGGATTTCCGGCAGACTGTGCGCCAGTCGGCGCATTGCTGCCTTTCACTGGTGGATCCAATTATTGCACCCTAGGTCCATTCAAATTCTCTGGTACAGTCCGGTACTAAAAATAAATTCCACAAGCGCACGAAAAACTTCTTGCTGCTGCACATGGGGAGCAAGCAATGATCTCAGATTCACACGCTCAAGTCCCAGGTGAAGAGCACGAGAAAACAGCAGTCTTCTTTGGTCCACATATTTCCTACATTGTATGAGAACATGTTTCACTGTCTCTTGCTCACTGCACTCTTCACACAGGCCATCTCTGTGCTTACTGATCCGATACAGGCTTTGAGCAAGTCCACAATGACCCAGTCTCATTCTGGTTATCATAACCTGCTCCTTCCTGTTATTCCCCCGGGTTGCTTTATCCCCCCCACTAATACTCTGCTGGATGCTGTAAAAGTGCCTTCCTCTTGTCTCCCTGTCCCATGCTCTCTGCCACTGCTCACACACTCTCATTTTAATTAGATGCCGATGCTCACACACACCAAATGCCACCACCACCTCTACTCTTTCGCTCTGCAAGGAATTTTTAGCAATCCTATCCACCACCTCATTTGCATCTACCCCCACATGTGCTGGAACCCACAAAAAACCCACATCATTCCCTCCCCTCTCTATCCTACACAGAACGCTTAGAGCCTCATATAAAAGATCTGGTCTTGTTTTAGACGACCCTGCCTCAAGAGACAGCAACACAGCCGCTGAGTCTGAGCAGACAACCACACTCTCTAGTCTCAATCGCTCAATCCATTTAAGGGCCCACACTATTGCCATCAATTCGGCTGTAAAAACTCCAATTCCATCTGGGAGTCGTCTGCCCTGACTCAGGGCCAATGTTGGGCTGTGTACCCCAAACCCTGCTCTCCTTCTCTGAGGGTCGACCGACCCATCCGTATACACTTGCAGGGCACTGTTCCAGTTGGTCACCAGTACCTCCCTCACAACCTCTTGGGCACACACTCTTCCCCTTTCTTTAAGGCCCTCTTTAACGGACCAGTCCACCTCCACCTGAGGAAGCAGCCATGGCGGGACTGAGGGCCAGACAACCACCGGAGCCGTGTTCCTCTGCCTGAGCTCTGGAATCTCATCCTTTACCTCATAAATAAACGTTCTCCCCCCCCTTCCTCCTGTCTCCCATGTATCCTCCATCACCCTCCTAGCAGGATGCTCTTCACGTTGGCCTTATGATTTTGCCACAAACTGGAGGGCCAGTTTTAACCGCCTCTTCTCAAGGGACATCTCCCCTACCTCAACCAGGAGAGCTGGTACTGATGTTGTTCGAAAGGCACCACAGCACACTCTTAGGGCCTTGGCTTGAACCACATCCAACTTAGCCAGATTTGTTTTAGCTGCATTCCCATACACCAGGCTTCCATAGTCCAGAGACGACCGCACCATTGCTCTGTAAATCATCAACAGGGTGGATTTGTCTGCTCCCCAGTTACTACCAGTCAGGCAACGCATTACATTAATAACTTTATTACATTTACTCACAACTTTCTCAATGTGCCCTTTCCATGTCATCCTTTCATCAAAGTAAACCCCCAAGAATTTAAATATCCGGACCCTTTCCAGTGCCACACCATACAACTGCAGCCCTATACTACCAACCTTTTTGTTTCCGAAGACTATACATTTTGACTTCTCCACTGAGATTTTAAACCCCCACTGATTTGCCCATTCCATTATCCCATCTAGCGCTCTCTGCATTTTATTAATAAGCCAGTATTTCTCCCCCTCCTCCAGACCGCCCCATCGTCCGCAAAAAGAGACACCCCATAACCCGGCCCCACACTTTTAAAAATATCATTTATCATTACATTAAACAAAACTGGACTAATTACACTCCCCTGTGGAGTACCATTGTCAATGTTTACCGATTGGGACAATGCACTTCCTACTTTTACTTGAATTGTACGACCTAATAGAAACGCTTTAATCCAATTTAAAGCACGCCCTCTAACACCTGCATCATACAGTTTCACTATAAGTCCTTCTCTCCACAACATATCATAGGCCTTCTCAATATCCAAAAATACAGCCACAAGAACCTCTTTACAGGCGATTGCTCTCTTAATATCACAGTCCAGTGACAATACTGACTCCATGGTGCTTCTCCCTTTCCTAAAGCCATTCTGATACGGGACAAACCACCCCTCTTTTTCTAATTTGTACACTAGTCTGTCTGTCACCATTCTTTCCATAATTTTACACAATACCGACGTAAGCGCTATGGGTCTGTACGATCCTGGGTTGTTTTCAGCCTTTCCTGGTTTTAAAATGGGAATAACCACTGCCTGCCTCCAGGCTAGTGGTACACGCCCTTCAGCCCATACATTATTAATTAACGCCAGAACCTCTTGCAGTACATCCTCCCCAAGATTTCTAAAAACTCTGTACATCAAACCATCCTTTCCTGGTGCAGTATGACCCCCCTTGTCAATTGCTCTGACTAACTCTGTAAAGGTAAAGAACAGGTTTATATAATCAGAATTGTCACAATTCATTTCAGTTTTATGCTGATGCACAGCCAACATTGAATCCCTCCTTCTAATTCCCTCCCGTCCCAGGTTTGCCCCACTATGCACTGCTTGAAATGCCTTGGACAATAGATCTGCCTTTTGCTCGTCATTAACCGCTGCCCCTCTTTCACTCTCTAACACTGGAATAGACCGAGCACGCTTAACCCCAGACATACGCCTCACAGCTGACCACACTCGCTGGAGAGTTGTCTCCGCTCCTAGCTTGCTGCAATACTGCCTCCAGCACATTCGTTTTGCATTCTTGATAACCCTCCGGGCCACTGCTCTCAATTTCTTGTATTCTATTGCGTTTTCCTCTGTTGGATACTTCCTAAATTTCTTATACATTTTATTTCTATTCCTGATAGCGGCACTGCAGTCCTTGTTCCACCAGGGAACACAACCCTTTTCTCTTGGTTTACCCTTTTCTGGAATAAACAACTTAACATTATCAGCAATCATACTGCACAAACTATTACTCCAGTCATCCACTGTCCGGTCATCAACTTTATCCAAGTCTCTGCTACAGGCCACTGAAAACTCTCCCCATTTTGCCTTATTATAATTTAGCTGCTTAGGCCTAGTTTGCTCCTCTATCACAAGGGACTGCCCAAACCGAATGAAAATTGGGAAGTGATCACTCCCCATAGTGTACCCTTCCCATGTGTTCCACATTGCCCTACTAGCCAGCTGGGCTGATACTATGGATAGGTCTATAGATGACACGTTCCCTGTTCTAATGTCAAACCTGGTGGCCCTAGTGTCGTTTAAACACACCAACCCGTGCAGCTCCATCATGTCTTCTACCACCTGTCCATTCGTATCTGTGCTGTTACTGCCCCACAATTGGTTATGTGCATTAAAATCACCTACATACTAAGTGTTGCCCTATCCCACTAAGCATTTCTTCAAACAATATCCAAACTTGCACATGGATTATAAAAGTTCACCACTCCCACCTTTCCCTGGCTCACCCACACATTCACCGCAACACACTCCAAGTCAGTGTTTAAAATCAGCCGTTCATATTGCACCCCCACCTTCACAAATATTGCACACCCCCCTCCAGGTCTATCTTCCCGATCTTTCCTTATAGCTTCATACCCAGGAATGACAAAGTCTAAACAAGGTTTTAGCCACGTCTCTTGAATACAAATCACATCAGGCTTTCCCTCTTTCAGCTGTCCTACACATCGTTTAAACTCTTGGCCATTTGCAATAAGGCTACGGGCATTCCACTGGAGGATGTGAAACATTCAGTTATCTGATGCCAGGCCGAAGTGGATCTCCTTCTTCGTCCTCTACTGACGCACTTTGTGAACTGCGCACACTATTCAAATTAAGATGCTCTGGGGAAACAGACAAATCCAAAAATCTCCCTGCCTCCTTGGCTATCATGGCCTTAATAGCCGAGGGAGTGCTCACTTGCTTGGCTGCCCACAGTACTTCAACCAAGAACGCAAAGAAAGACGTTTTGTCCACAATTAATGAATTTTCTGGTATTTGGTTGTGAGCGGCCACCGGAGGGCATGGACGTCGGAACTATTTTCTGAGAGGGGGGGCGGGTTTTTGTTGGGAGAGTCGAGGGAGAGACTCATACTTGGATTACACTGGATAATAACATACCATCTTAATTGTTAAGAAAAACAAAATAAACAATATATATCAAGCAAGTCACTTATCAAACTGAACTTTTTTTTTTTCAATACGCATTCATGCGTCAGTCTCTCCGGTGGCTTCATTGTGTTGTGTAGCCCAGTGACGTGCGGTCAGATGAGGCAGGCAAGGCCCTCACCTAAGATCATAGAAAGAAAAGTAATAAAATGGATACAATAATGTTTGGTCACTTTATCAAGTGATTTGTGCTGTGCCTTATTTCATTTATTTATACCTTGAAATCGCAGATTTGACAGAGCGGTGCTGTGAGGCGAGCCTCTCTTGGGAGACGTAAAAAGCAACAGTTCACAGGGAGAGTCCTGTGAGGTGCTATCAAACTGTTTTCCCTGTTTATCACAGTTTAAAAAGTTCAAAAATATTTAATTTACAATCAACATGTTTACATTTAAGAGGATGGCTCATAAATTGTGTTTTTGAAGCAAATATGGGTCTTAATCGCGCTCAACCACAGCTTGTAAGTGAGGAAAGCCTCAAGGGGGCGCTTGTGAGCCCAAACTTTGGCTGCATCCAATTCCATCAGAAAGCTCCTTTCTTGTTCTTCTTCTGCTAAGGGCAGCTACAGGTTTGGCTAACATACCTATAATACATTTTAAGATAATTTAAAATGCACTTAGAGTAATGTTTTGCTTCCAATGATGATATGAATCATAAGAAAAGGAGGTGAAGGGTAAGGTTGAATTTAGAAATTGGATTTACCCGGGAGTCGGCTGCAGCAAAACTCGGAGTTTACGGAGGAGACACCCGTTTTTTTTACTTTTTAAAACTCATTGAACTTATTTCCAAATGGAG